TACAGGGTGTTTCACGAACATCGAAACAGGTGCGTTTAAAGGTATTTCAAAGTCGATTTAAAAAAAATAACGCTCGGGCACGTCATTTTTGTATTCAAGGAAGAAACTTTTTGAGCCCATCGGTATTTCACTAGGGTGCACCCCCTGGGTGGGGTGATATTTACCATGCTTTTTTAGATAGGGAAGATGAGTCGAGTGGTACCTTGTTTTAAAGGTATTTTGATTCTCGTCACAACTGCGTTTTTTTTTTCAATTGAATGATTAGTTCTCAAGATATTTACTGTCAAAGTTGCCATAGGCTGAATATGAAACAATCTTCTGGCCTTGTCATTCTCAAATTAACACTTTCCTGACTTTCCTCTCGGACACATCAATTTTCATTTTTTGTGTGCTTCTGAAAAAATTAAAATTGACTGTCCGAGAGAAAAGTCAAAAAAGTATTAATTTGAGAATAACAGGTCCAGAAAATTGTTTCTGATATCTCGAGAACTTACTTTTTGATTTTCAAAAAAATCAAGCGGTTGTGACGAGAATCAAAATACCTTTAAAACAAGGTACAACTCGACCCATTCTTCCCTATTTAAAAAAGAGGGGTGAAAGTCACCCCACCCAGGGGGTATGCACCCTAGCGAAATGCCAAACGGGGTCAAAAACTTTATCCTTGGATACAAAATTGACGTGTCCGAGTGTTCTTTTTAAATCGACCCTAAAATAGGTAACCCAAAACACCTTTGTTTCGATGTTCGTGAAACACCCTATATACCTTATTAGATAGACTATGCAGCAACATACCTTTATTTATTTGACGATGATTTCTTTTATAAATCTTGGCAAGGTTGAGATGCTCGACTAGAAAAGGTATCTCTTTCACTGGGATAAGATGAAAGTTTATTATAGTGAACATAACTGCTAATGTTTCAAAGAACAAAAATAGTTCATTGCCTGAATAAGTTATGGGGGAATTTGTGGTAATAATATCAAGGATTTTCTCATTTATCTTTATAAATACGTAATACCTACTCGATAGATAATATATTAACCATATATTAACGTAGTATAAAAAAAAATTGACTTTGCGTTTGATTATTCCTTCACTTTCTGATTTCAGCTTGAACAATAAATTAGAACTTTCTGCTAATACTTATTTTTTTCAGAAATACAAAAAAAAAAACGTTTTTCATTGATTAATATTGATTATGTATGTAGGTACTCTACATTTGGCTATGTTTGCGTTTTTTGTTATAAGTAATGCTTTTGTAGTTTCAGAAAATCCTGGAGATCCCTGTGGGTTTCAAAGGTTGGTTTGAGGCCTCAACCAAGGAAATGGATAGAATATGAAAAAGAAATTCTTGTTAAAAACCTATATTGTATCTAATGAAACATTCTTGACAGCGTGGTGGATCTACATTTGATAAGGAAACCAACAGTTTAAAATGACTTAGGTCACCACTATATCAAGATTATTTAACCAATTTTGTTCTAGAATAAGAAACGGCTGGGGCATCATTAGCGAGGGTCCAGAAGCTGTGGTCCAGATCTGATTCAGAAGAGCAGCCATAACAGAAAATGCAATAAAAAAATTAGACAATAGGAAAAATAAATACTGTTAAATGTTGAATAAAAAGTCAAAAAATCTGTAAAACAAACAACGGCCATTATTTAAATTATTTTTGATATGAACTTTCCAGAGCCTGGAGCAATATGTAGTGATCACGCCTTAATAAAATATTATCTGTACCTAGGAATTAATGGTTCACCTCAAGTAGAAGGATCAATGGTTTACAGAAATCAGAACCGTTCGGGGCTTGTTCAGGACTTCAATTACAAAACCCTTATACCCAATACAGAGACATTCCAGGGATATTCGAAGGATATAAACTTGCACTTCTTATCAAAATTTATTTACCAAAAAGCAAAATGTTTGTTCTCAATTTTGTTTGAAAATAAACCAAGACAAAAATCTTACCTATGTGGTGGACAAGGTAGGTATAATTTCAATGAAATCGATGACCCATTCTTGATCTATGGAGTAAATGAAAAATCGTATCAAAAGAAATTTCAGAAAAACTTACTAACTTTGTTCAAAACGGTTGTAAAACAAGAGTAAAAGGTATTGGGACATATTTAAACGGAAATATTTCGCGCGACAGCGTCTGTCGTCGGGCTTCATTACATCTAGGCGCACCCTCAACTCAACCCCACTTTTTGAGAGATTTCCATTTGTCAATCAGAGCGGTCTGAGTTCATCTGCATCTTTTTCTAGAAGCATGTAAAATATAAGGACGCGCAGACCGCGCTCCTGCCACTCTTAGGGCGGGTATTATAAAACTACTTTGAGAGTTAACTTCTGGAATTACATGTAATTCAAAAAGTTAACTGTCAGAGCAGCTTTATAATACCCACCCTTAGGGTGGGTATTATAAAACTACTTTGAGAGTTAACTTTAAGTTAACTTCATGAATTACATGTAATTCAAAAGGTTAACTTTAAGTTAACTGTCAAAGCAGTTTTATAATACCCGCCCTGTATAGTTGTATTCCTTTCACACCTAGGAGGAGCTCCGGAACAGCTCCGGGGCGTTAAGCGCTTATTTCTTCGAAAAGTGTTTGTTGCACCCCGCATCTCTTCCTTTCAAATCGGGGGCGACTAACACCGGAGCGAGTAGCTCGAGTGCTTCTAACTCTTGAAACAAATACAACTAATGACGTAATTTCCGAGCGGTAAATTAAACCGTGCGGTCGTTATTTTGATCTTAGTTCTCCGAGCTGCATAATTACCGTTCGTTTATTTGAAAAGTGTATATAAAATTTCTGGCACTTTTTCAACTGCTCTGTTCGCTCACGTGATTACGGCTCCGCTCAGCACGCTCTGCTCTTTGAACAAAATACCGAACGCAAGTCGCAAGGATAGCGTTTAAAATAAGTAAAAATTTGTGATTTTTTTTTTAGGTACCTACATGGTATATTATGGTTTTCTAAAATCAAAGTTTTGCACCTGAGAAGCTTCAAAACTGAATTGAAGTCAATTAAGGGCGGGTATTATAAAACTTCTTTGACAGTTAACTTGAAGTTAACTTTTTGAATTACATGTAATTCCAGAAGTTAACTTTAAGTTTAAGAAAAAAAAAAACTCTCAAAGTAGTTTTATAATACCCGCCCTAAATTCTCTACAAACCCATCAGTTAATATGTCAAGTGGTTAGGGTTGCCAACCGTCCTGCATTTCGGTGGACGTCGGACGTCCACCATTTGGGGTTCATTATCCAGTGTCCTGGTCGGGGATTCTAAAATCACGATTCGACATACGACTCGACAGCGAGACGATTTTCCCGACGATTCTAGGTTAGAAATCTCATTGGAATTATACCTTTCGAGACGACAAGGCCGGTATCGTTGTCGAGTCGTGTGTCGAATCGTGATTTTAGAATCTCGGCCCTGTAACCACCTATCGCAGGACACTTAGGGCCATATTCTCCGTAGTTCATAAAGCCTAGCTTAGTGGAAACGCTTGGATTTTTGTGTGACAAAGCCGAGCTTTTCCACTAAGCCAGGCTTTATGAACTAGGGAGAATATGGCCCTTATTGTACTTAATTTTTAACTTAATGAAGAATTCTGTCAAATTAAGCCGGCTATAAACCTGATTCTGGTTTATAAGGAAAATCATACATTACTTGAGAATAGAATTTATTATTATTGACTAATACCTACCGAGTTCAAAAATTTCTGGATCATTTTGCAACTTATGCAAATAAATTATTAGTTCCTATTTACACAAAGAATTTTTGTTGAACAGTTTTTCTTTTAGTGTATCAGTAAGTTTTTTTTTGTTTATTTAAGTTTGTAAATGGTATTTTTCTCTGCAATAAAAAGAATGTCCAGAAATTATACCGTATGTCCTGAAATTTCATTACCCTCGTCCAGAAAAATTAAAAAACAAAGTTGGCAACCCTACAAGTGGTATCAACGGTTTTGCACCTGAGAAGCTTCAAAATTGAAATTATCAAAAATTGAAAATTTTACAAAAATGACACTGAGACAGTTTTTGCCTCACAGCTCAGTTAACTGTCATACGATTTCAATGTAATTATGCTCAAATTGAAGCCAATTAAATTCTTTACAAACCTATTAATTAAGATTTTAATTTGATTTCAACAGTTTTGCACCTGAGAAGCTTGAAAATTGATATTATCGAACATTGAAATTTTTCCAAAAATTGCACCGAGACAGTTTTTGCCTCACAGCTTCGTCAATTCTCATCGGATTTCAATATCATCACGCTCTAATTGAAGCCAATTAAATTCTCTACAAAACCATCAGTCGATATGTCAATGTGCTTTCAACGGTTTTGCACCTGAGAAGCTTCAAAATTGAAATTATCGAACATTGAAAATTTTCCAAAAAAGACACCGAGACAGTTTTTGCCTCACAGCTCTTTACCTATTAGTTGATTTTAATCTTGTTTACTTTCAATAAAAAAAGTGTGAACAATCTTAGATTTTGGATTGATATTTGCCACTATGGTAGGAATGAGCTCTTTATGAGTGGGTTTTTGACTCAAAAAGTCCAAACCCGCTGGGTTTTTGTCAATATTGTGGCTTTCTGTGTCAAAAACCCATTGGGTTTTTTAAATCAGTTTTTGTGTATGCCAACTCTGTACTTTCAGGTTCGAATAGGTAATGGATGAACCAGCAAGTTTTCTTCAGCAACTCTGAGATTGTTGAAGAGCCTGGCACAATGTGTGCAAATCATATTAGTGACCACAAGCTGACGTATTGGAATATTGAATTACCTTTTTGAAAAAAATATACGCCAAAATTATATCTTTTGGTGACATCAAAAGTTAAATAAGGAAGCTTTTTGTGAGGCTCCACACAAAAACAAGACATAAAGTTAAAAATACTTAGAGGGAGATTTTTGTCCAATATCTGTGAATTGATTGCCCATTTTTTCACAGGTACTGACATTAAATCTGTGGTTGAAATGAACAAACACCAAGCAATTTTGGATCACCGTATTTTATTAAAGAAACCACATTAAAAACAGAATATACCTTATTCGCAATAAAATAATATAGGTAACGCAATAACTAATGAGATTATATAGTTCAATCCAACGATATTTCATATTGTAACCCCAAACTTAAGAATATAAAATATCGCTGAAGGCAACTTTACTTAAAACTATCTGAGATGTCTCTCAGCTACTCAAAAAACTTAAGAATAATACATATGTAACTCAAAAGTAACAAAAATCAAACGAATATAGATATTGAAAAATAAAAGCACATATATAAACGATTACAAATACATTATCAGCGATTTCGCTATACAGTAATAACTCCAATTACTATTCTGACAGTAGTCTCTGCATAAAATTTCAAATATTCAAAATTATAGGTCAACCTAATATATCACAGTCAATTATTCTCAATAATTGAAACAAATATGTGAATAAGTGCTCATGAAAACGCATTTACATAGAAATGAGCATTTTTTTTGGGAAGTTTAAAAAAAAAATTACCTGAATAAACGTTTTGATTACTTTTCTTCTTGAAATAGCTCACAGCGAAGTTTACCGCGTGAAAATATAAGTAGTAGTATCTGTCAGAATACAAGATCACAAGCATGGCGTAAAAAAGCGGCTGTCACAATATACCATTACTCTCCACTCCAATTATCCGGATTAGTTGAGACCAGACCTGATGCGAATAATTGGATAAATCAAGAAAATGGCTGACTATGAAAATCTAAGCAGATTATGGTAGCCATGATGTTGAATAAACAGAAAATCTCCTACATGTGTGATTAATGCAAACTTGAGGTCAATTTTTTTTTTGTCAAAATGAAAACGTTCCAGATAATTGGAGTTCTACTGTAGTCAAAAGAATAAATCGTAAGTATTTAAGCATACAAAAATATTGATGAAAATTTCTTAATGTCAAACGTTTCCCAATACCTACTTTCAAGAGCCAGGTGAGAAATGCGGGAAGCGTTTTCTTAAATCTACAAACTTTCCTTAAATCTAATATTAGTATTTTATATTTCCACGAAGGATAGAAACGAAAATAAAAAATATAGTTTTCTCCAACAATATTTCATATTGTTTACATACTAAAGTCGATAAAAACTTGTCAAAAGCAGCAGCCAGACTCAAACTCGTTTTGTTATTCAACTTTTCAAGAATAATTAATCTTTATAGGCATAGTTACAAAAAATAATCAAAAATAGAAATTACTTTTTTTTATAGCAATATGAAATATCGTTTGAGGCAACTATATCAAACTCACTAACAGCTGTCATTGCCAAAATGTTCAGCCAGTAATACTAGCAGATCATTCCCTGAAAAATAGAGAAAAAGAATGGTAAATTTTACTTTGGAAAACTGTAACAATCCGAAAATCAGAAAAAAGGGATTTAATATACTCCTGGACAAAATTATCGCACCACCACTGCACATAAGCACCATAAGCAGTGGTGCGATAATTTTGTCCAGGAGTATATATTTATTTTTGGTAAAAGCAAAGTATTTCTTGATGCTGTGAACATTAGAGATAAGATTGACAGCTCTGATTAGGGCAACAGTTAGACAAATGTCAATTATTATTTGTGTGCTTTATACCTTATCTTGAATATCAGTATTTGCTTTTAACAAAAAAAAGTATATCGAATGAGCACATGACCTATTAAATATTAAAAAAGCAATATACTCACAAAAGTTGCTTCATTTACCTCTACTGAAACAACAGGAAATTCTTCAAGGGGGGAGGTAGGGGCAACTTTTCTATTTTTGCCTTCATGTATTTGGTCATTGGACTTTGGTACATGCGATATCCTGAGGTATTTACTGGTTCGTCCTCATCTGTATCGCTGGAGCTTTCTAAAATAAACAGAATTAGTATTATTACTAGAAAGGCAAGTATTAGCTAATAGAAAATTTGCTATTTCCTTCAAAAGCCAACCTGAAGGAAGAACGGGCAAGGCTCTTCTTCTCAGCTGATTTCTATAAGCCATTCCAAGGACTTGTCTCAAGCGGTAGCGGCAAGGCTGGATAGTTCGTCTTCTTTCTTTTTCTTCGTCTTCAGAGGAACTTACTACTTTTATGATTTCATCATTGACGCTGCTATTAATGTTTTCCCTTTTAACCAAGGTATTGCGAGAAGCTGCTCCACTAGTTCCTGCTTTCATGTCGCTGAAAAATGATATAATTTAGTTTTTTCCTACCTGAATCAATAAATAACTACATAATATGTATATCTAAGTTAACAGAAGTTAAAATGAATTGGAAGAAACATGGACAAAGATCTGTCAGAGTCAAATTTGCGCATTTTATTTTAGAGCCGGTTTCTCAATAGCGAGTCACCTCCGGGTTAGTTTTAACTCCAAGGTAAGCGTGTCCAGTTGCTATATTTACCTCGGAGTTATGCTTAACCCGGGGGTGACCTGCTATTGAGAAACCGGCTCTTAAACAATCATTGTCAAATTTTTTAAGTGTAGAAATAAAAATCTGTATTATATTTTATTTATGGATCAACCCAATGTTTGGTTTAGCCTCGTGATTTGAAAACTTAACAGGGATCTTCTATACTGGATGTTAAAAAAATAGTGTACAGGACTTCGAAGAGTGATAATACATATGAAAACTGAAAAAAAAATCCTATGAACATATGCCCTAAAATGCTGTTCCGTTTTCTGAAGAACTACCCTCTACCTAATGGAAACTACCCTTTCAGGACTGTTGCGGCATTTTTTACTATCACCATTCGCTTTGGCATCAAAATGTATGTGAGAATACAAAATACCACTGTTTTTGAAAATAAATAAAGTCTATTATTTTCATCTACTGCTTGACAGGCTATAACTTCTTTGGGCATGTTCCTCATCTCTCGAAGTCTGGTACACTATTTTTTTACACCCTGCATAATAATCCTCATCATTATGAGTCCAGTAGACTCTTGTTCAACATCGATCATAGCCCAAGTTATGGCAATATTGACTGGGCTAAGAGTAAAATTTTTCTTCTTCGATGGTTCTTCTTCACCAGATTACGCAATATTATTTCTACTACCAACTTTTCTGACGTTCTGTCAATCGGCCCCATTTTTGTCAATCAGGATTTAAACATAAAAAAAATGTAATTTCCAATTATATACCTATCAAATTTATCAAATCAATTACAGTGTGAGAGTGTAAATGCAACATTCTGAATGTCCAAAATAAATAATGAATAAGTTGTTACCTGTCACTGGAGCTGTTTTTATTATTCTGTTCATCTTTGGGGAAAAGAGCAAGAATATGAGCCTTGCTTATTACTTCTGAGTCATCTTCTTGATTCTCGTCGCTCTCAGGATTAGGATCATCTCTAGGATGGTCATGTGGTTGGTGGTTAATGACTGCAGACACTTGGCGAGAAACACTACAAATATAGAATGTATTTTATTGTTTATTTAAACGGTTCGAATATTTTAAAGACTCAAACTATTTCTATAGGAATATGAAATATCATTGGACGCAATTTTACTAAGAATAAGTATCTGAGATGTCTCTCAACTAACAAAAAATTCAAGTGTGAAGAGGAAGGTTGGATGTACACCAAAGAGGGTCAAAGAATAAGTCAAATTTTGTAGTAAGTAAATGAATAATACATTTACACTCGCATTTACACCACTACAAAATTTAATTTATTCTTCGACCTTGAATATGCAACTCAAAAATAACAAAAATTAAAAAAATATATCTGTACCTCAGAGGTAAATTGTATTAAGTCATAATATTATAATTTAATATACTGACACTTAAATGATTCTAGTACAATTCAATGTCATAGGTTATGTACAGAATATACAAAATAGGATATTAAAAATTATTTTTAAAGTACGAAGCTCAGCTTTAAACTTAGCATATAGGGAAAATGTGATATTAAATATAAAACAAAATTACTACTATAAAACACTAATTTTAAATTACGAATATCTAAAAAATAAATATTTAAAGAGACAGACAAATACTAGAAATAGAAATATTCCTAGTATACAAACTAATTTGGAAGTAGGTAAAAAATCATCATTAGTAAGTGCCACAAGACTGTATAATTTATTGCCAAAAAATTTAAAGAATGTAAAAAAAATAAACAAAACTTTCAAATGCAACATAAAGCATTTTTTCATTAGACAAAACATAAATGCATAAATCTTCAATTTCTATCGAATATTATAAAATTACAATGAATAATTTATTTCTCAATTACCTGATATGTATGAATAAATAGAAATTTACAGAAAAAAAAAATTATTAAAATGAATGCAAAACTTTAATGGTTCCTAACTATTAGTAAAAATAGTTTAGTTTAAGGATCTTTAGTTTTAAGTACCGGGCCTGTGCACAGACTTCTTGTCTCTTGCAGGGTAAAAATACTATGTAATTTACTGTACTATACACCTGGAATAAATGAATTTGAATGAATTTGAATTTGAATTCACCTTTAAGCCTGGTGAGTCACTTGACACAGGTTCCAACCAGGTATTTCGGTTGTCTTAAAAGCTAGGTGTATGAAATTTTTTCCGGAGGTCAAGTAAGTTATTAGAAGCAGTATTCAGCTAAAAACCCATTTTCGAAAAAAAAGTGACTTAATACAGTTTACCTCTGAGGTACAGATATGGAAAAATAAACGTATAAAAACGAATAACTAAACCATTAAAAAAAAAAAATAACCCTAATAAACGTTTTGGTTGCATTTTTTCTTGGAATACCTTACAGCAAAGTTCATAGAATGAAAATTTAGGTCGACGCACTATCTGTCAGAACTCAAGATCACAAGCATGTCACAACAAAAGCGGCTATCAAGCATACCATTACTCAGTAGAATTCCACTTATCCGGATTAGTTGAGACCGAACCCGATCCGGATAATTGAATAAATCAAGAAAAACATTTGGGTATAATCTCTTTTTAAAAAATGGGTGGCTGAAAATCAGGGAAGATTATGATACACAAACAAAAACTCTCCAACAAGGTGTGATCATTGCAAACTTTTTTTGTCAAAATGGAACCAGATAATTGGAAACTGTAATCAAAAGAATAAATCATCAAGCACTAAATAGTAAATAAGTATAAGTATTTTAGCATACAAAAAAAATGTTTTTTGCTTGCTGTCAACTGTTTCCCAATAACGACTTCTAAGAGCCAGATGAGGAATGTGGGAAGCGTCGAGGGAAATATATCCTTATTATTTGCAAACTTTGCTTAAATTTAATGAAAAGTTTTGTATATTTCCAAGAAGGATAGAACGGAAAACAATAACAAGTATAGTTCCCTCCAACAATATTCCATATTGTTCACATATTAAATGTCGAATAAGTTGTTACCTGTTCTGGGAGCTGTTTTCATTATTCTGTTCATTTTCATCATTGTTGATAACTTCTGAGTCATCTTCGTCTTGATTCTTGATATTCTCAGGATTAGAATCATCCCCAGGATGGTGTTCAATGACTACAGACACTTGATGAGAAACCGAGTGAGAAACACTATAATTTTTTTTTTTAATAAAAAACAGCTACAAGTACAGAGAAACCAACCTTTCCTCAACAGAGTCATCAGACACATTATCGATTATCATTTCTTCTTCGCTGTCACTTGATGTTGGTGGCGTCATTCTATTTATATTCTCAGCAGTCATACTATAAACTTCCATGGTAAAGCTTCCAGGGTGGTATAAGCCGTCTGTTCCAGATACATGAAGTCCGTCATTACTGTATCGAGGTAGTATTATGATTGGCGTTTCATCTTCATCAGAGCTGTCTGGCAGAGGCTTTGGTATTATCACTTGTTTCAATCTTTTGCTTTTCCTGGTGCGGGAGAATATTTTTCTTTTATTTGGTCCTGGAGGATGCTGAATTTCATGAATTTTTATGGTTTTTTTTAAAGCATTACGAATGGTGGTACGACATAGAACTTGGAGAGGTGTTGGCTGCACATCAACTAGAAAATAAACAACACCAAATGTGTGAATTTTTACCAAGATTTTTAATCTGAAAAATGGTTACTTACTCGGTTTGATATATTCCAGAGAATTAGCAGGAGGTGGAATTATCGCCGAAAAAGAAACATTCAGGAGATGCCTGCTTACCCATGCGGTATTTTCGAGTCTAAATATTTAAAAATAAATTTTGTGCTCGCTAGTCAAAAACTAAAACATACTTTTTTATTTGTAATAGTTCTCCGTTACATGGCAAAACCATAATTCCGCCAGTCTTGAGAAATTTTCGTAGAAATAATACTTCTTGACTTCTGCAAGCTGCACCGCAGTAAATTCGGTCGTATTCCATGGAAACCAGGCTGTTAATACTTAAACAATTACCTAATAAAAAAAATATGGATAAAATATTTACATGTGTGCAGATTGCCAGATTAAATTGTTGTCGACTTCATAAATAATAATGCGTACCTAGTTTCTAAGAACGCTTTTTATTGGCAATTTTGTTTACAAAAATCCGTCAGTATTTCAATTTGAGCAGAACCACCCCAACAGTCAAAAAGCTAAAGACCGCGGCAGGAAGGATAAAGGACTGAAAGAATGCGACTGTCTTGTCTGTGAACAAACACAACTTGTCTGCATTATTTGTTGTCTTTGTATAGTCAACAGGCTATTTAGTTTTTCTCGATTGTTTTAGTAAGATTGCTAGATTCTCACATTCGAGAAATTTCGGGAAAATTCTAGAACATTCTATTTCCAAACCAAGGGATACATCAAATTTGTGACTTCACCGACGTCTTTGGAACTTCAATCAAAAACCAGGAAAGATATTTGAAGAGATTTTGAGGAAAATTCCAGAACATTCTGTATATGCCTATTACAAGACAACAAGTAAAAATGGAAGAACAAAAAATGGAAGAACTTCTGCGCAAAATGTTGGAACTTCAAGAGACCAAACGACAACAAGAAAAACAAGACGAAGTATGTAGGATTTAAGATTTTGATAGGTTTAATTTAGGCAACATTTCCATACAGCTTTTGTGAAGCTTTTCTTGTATAATTTTTGTACATTGTGGAATAAGTTACATTACATTACATTACATTACATTACATTACATTACATTACATACAACAGGAGCATTTTCTTTGCCAACACGTAGCGTACAACTGAATAGACTGCTCTCCGAGCAGTCGCTCAGTTGCGTTGACTGTATTACGCTAACGCAAGTCGTTTTTACGCAGTGTAGGAAAACGCTTCCATTTGATTTTCATTAGACATGTCCTCAGCGTTTTACGCCGACCGAATTACGTTCTACACCGCATAAATTGTGCGTTGCTAGGAAAACGCTTCTTAACCAACCAGTACGGAGGGGCAAAGGCTGGTTAGTAATGACGGAGCTCCCAGGGTTGTTTACATAAGATCATTGGGCAGTCATTACATAGGATTGAAATCAGGGATCGACTGATACCGATATGGCATATCGGTATATCGGCGTATCGGCCATTTTCAGGTATATCGGTGTATCGGCATATCGGACCTTCATTGGCCGATAACTTTAGACCGATACAAATCATATTTTGAAGATCAGTAATCATCACCAAGGCTTTTTTGAAGCTTAAAAGAGCTAATAATTGTGATTGGTACATATGGGAGTGACTAAGAAAAAAGTAAATATTAGAAATTGTTTCTCATAAATTTATTTTAAATTAATTAGGTTTTTATTAAAAAAAAAAACTTAACATTCTGCTTATCTAAACTCAAATTCAAAATTATTTATTTAAAAAAAAAAAAAAACTAAACTTTCTGCTTATCTGAACTCGAACAAACAATCTCCTAAAACTAGGAGAAAACAAATAAATAAAACATTCAAACTAAAGGAAAAGGTGCGAGAAAACAAATAAAACATTCAAACCAAAGGAAAAGGTTGGAGAAAACAGATAAATATATATCGGCCTTATATCGGTATCGGCCTTCTATAAATCCATATCGTATCGGTATCGGCAATATCGGTTTTTTAAAAAAAAAACGTATCGGTCGATCCCTGATTGAAATTCGAAGGACAAATTAATGGAGAATTTAAAACCATGACTTTTGATACGAGTGCTGAAATTTCTATAATTAGAAAAACATTGGTCAAGTCTCGGGCAATCCAACCGCTCACTAGAAACCTGACACTACGAACAGTCACCGGCGAATCGGCACCAGTTCAACGAGGAGCTATGGTTTCACTACATATTTCCCGACCTATTTGCTTACTTTGAGCATCGCAAAAAAAAAGCTTATGACGGTTTCACAGTATTGTTCAAAACGTTTGAGGATATCAAAATGCGGTTTGCGCTAATCAAAATCTCATGAAATTTGAGGCTCAGAGTGGGGGGTCAGAAATTCATATTTCCTATTATAAGTGTCCAAATTGGACCACCCTGTACCAAACTATATACAATAATTATGAGAAATACTAGTCTTGAAAACCTAAGATACACTCCTTGAAATAAATGATCCTAGTTGTTTGACAGCAACCCTTCAAAAGAATAGTCAGTTGCCCTATAAAAATTTAAAAGAGTGGATTTATCAGAACTGAACAGTTTTGGTTGTTTATGAAATGAGGGACTGGGAATATTATCCTTGTTTGAAATAGAAACCAAAACAAACACCAAGTGGAGTGTGCCATTACAAAAACAATTCACATGAATATTAAAAAAAAAAAAACTGTACAGGGTGGTTGATTTTCGATAGTTTGATAGGGTACAGCCAAAATGGCCAAAGATACTGAGAAACTGATATACGCTTCCCGTCCTCTTTTTTAGTGTGTCATTTGATGGTGTAGTCAGATCTTGACCGACAATATTGGTTTGCGAGGTACAGGGTGTTTTTCAAAATCAGCTGTTTTTTATAATCCTCTATAACTTCTTACCCGACGGAGATATAGAAAAAGTGCAAAAAGGAAAAATACGTCTTTTTTTACGTACAATCCAGTGGCGTACTTAGAAAAAATATGGGGGCTTTATCTTCTGAGATATTTGAAAAAACAAAGATTTTTCAAATGGAACACCCTGTATCTTATTGGTTCAGTAGTTTGAGAAAAAAATTGCGAGTTCAACGATATATAACACATGATATTTTGTTTTGGCCTAAATGGCGAAAACAACAAAAAACACTTTTTTCTACAAACGTTACTACAAGTGTCATTTTTAACGGATGCTGTCAGTATCATAGATGCCATTTTATGACACTGGTGTTAAAAGTGATTACTTTTAGTACCTACCTACTCCAGAATTTTGTTTTTCCAAAAATTTTTTTTTTCAAATGAAATTCTAGAGTTTTTTTGAAAGTTTTAGAAATTAATTTGTCATTTTTCCTTCAAAAAAGCATTCGGAATTTTTTTATCAAAATTATTCCAGAAATTAAATTTCAGCTCTTTTCCCTGAAAGAAACATTGCAATTTTTTTTTATTCACTGGAGTGTGAAGTAATACACCAGAAAAATACTAAATTGACAGTGTCGACATCTGTCATTGACATTACTTCACGCACTAGTGTGTGAAGTGAATTACTTTACACACTTGTGCGTGAAGTGAAATTTTACGTATTCTGAATAGTTCGTAAAGTGGGTACTTCACGCACGGTAGTAGAAAATAGTTATTTATGCAACAAGTGTGTAAAGTGAACCTTTTTTCACGAATGTGAATTTTGACGCACGAGCCGAAGGCGAGTGCGACAATCACATGAGTGAAAAAAGGTGCTTTACGCACGTATTGCATACAAAAATTTTTCTACTACCAATCAAATATGTGTGAAAAAATAAATTTAGAGAATTTCTTTACGTACTAGTGCGTAAAGTATTTCCACTTTACGCGCTAGTGCGTGAAGTAATTTACCAGAAAAATAGTAATTTGACAGTGTCGACATCTGTCATTGACATTACTTTACGCACTAGTGTGTGAAGTGAATGTCATTACGCACTAGTGCGTGAAGAGAAATTTTACGTCTTCTGAATAGTGCGTAAAGTGAGTACTTTACGCACGGTAGTAGAAAAAAGTGTTTTTTGTTGCTTTCGCCATTTAGACTAAAACAAAATATCATGTGTTATGTATCGTTGAACTCGCAATTTTTTTCTCAAAATACTGAACCAATAAGATAGAGGGTGTTCCATTTGAAAAATCTTTGTTTTTTCGAATATCTCAGAAGATAAAGCCCCCATATTTTTTCTAAGTACGCCACTTTCCTTTTTGCACTTTTTCTTTATCTCCGTAGGGTAAGAAGTTATAGAGGATTATAAAAAACAGCTGATTTTGAAAAACACCCTGTATCTCGCAAACCAAACTTGTTGGCCAAGATCTGACTACACCATCAAATGACACACTAAAAAAGAGGACGGGAAGCGTATATCAGTTTCTCAGTATCTTCGGCCATTTTGGCTGTACCCTATCAAACTATCGAAAATCAACCACCCTGTACCGTGCGTTCAATTTATCTTGATAACATTTCAATTCGCTGTAACTTTTTTGTTTTTGAAGGTATCAAGGTAAACAAAAAAACAAAATGTAGGGTTAGTAGCCAAGTTTTTTTTCAAGCTACCGATAAAACAAAACACCATCAATTTTCTGACATATGAGCCTACATTATATTTTTTTAAATGGAACACCCTGTATATTATTTATGTGTATGATAGAATATCTTATTCCGATTACAATGATATAACACACTTCATATTTTAGTCCACTCGTTGCTGACAAATCGGCAAAAATATATGAAACTTTTGAAGTGAAACTTATTAGGGGGCGATCTGATATTTGTGGCGAGAATTATTGAGAGTGTATATAAACTTCATATTTTTGCCGATTTGTCAAAAACGAGTGGACTAAAATATAAAGTGTGTTATATCATTGTAATCGGAATAAGATATTCTATCAAACACATATATAATATACAGGGTGTTCCATTTGAAAAAACATAATGTAGGCTCATAAGTCAGAAAATTGATAGTGTTTTGTTCTATAGGTAACTTGAAAAAAAACTTGGCTACTAACCCTACATTTTGTTTTTTTGTTTACCTTGATACCTTCAAAAACAAAAAAGTTACAGCAAATTAAAATGTTATCAAGATAAATTGAACACACGGTATATACAAGGGCTTTCATTTCAAAACTTGCCGCCCAAGTTTGGGTAAAGAGACAGATTTGTGAAAATCGCCAAAACACATCAACAAATTTATTAAGGGAGGTTGTTTTTTACGTAAATGTGGACTTCGCCCCTTCAACCACCTAGCCCCCAGGGCTACCACCCCAAAATTTTTGAATGAGACAGTGGGTCGAGTGATAGATCATTTTAAAGTGCTGTTAATCTGTACATTCTGCCAGACATTTTTTAAAATTTGACCTAACTGTTGCAGAATAACATCCCTTTCAATGTTTACAAATGCATATTTATTTCTAAACGCACCTGCCTAATTACCTACCTTTTTATTACCTTCCAAAAAAAAAGCAGGTGTGTTTAGAAGTAGATATGCATTTGTAGAGATTGAAAGGGGTGTTATTCTGCAACAGTGAGGTCAAATTTAAAAAAAAAATATGAGTGTGCAGATTAAACAGCCCTTTAAAATGATCTATCACTCGACCCACTGTCTCATTTAAAAATTTTGGGTTAGTTGAAGGGGCGAAGTCCAGTTTTACGTAAAAAATGTTCTCCCTCAATAAATTTGTTGACATGTTCCGGCGATTTTCACAAATCTGTATCTTTACCCAGATAATATGGGTGGAAAGTTTCGAAATGAACTAGGAAAGCCCTGTATAGATATAGATATGTGGTTGAAACAAAAAATGTGATTTTAGATTAATGGTAGAGAAAATATTCTAAGCCATCAACATTGGACTCCAGAATCAGGATAATTAAATTCCAATAAATCATGCTAACCTAAAATAAACAACATATTTCACATAAAATGTTTTATGAGTAAGGACTCTTCTATTAAGGTTTCTGGAATATTGATTTGGCATTATTCCAACTTCCACATGCAGTAAAATCCAAACTGAATTGTTCTATTCTTGTTTTTATGAGTTACCATTAGTTTGGCACTATTTTTGAATTTTATTGCATTCCAAAGTTTTAAAAATAGAAATTTTCAATCATTGAAAATCCATAGAATATTCATCCCAATTGATGCTTTTCGGTTACAATTTGCTGCTGAATACAAATAAGCAATAAAATATAAGGTGTTGAAAAAACTAAATGTGTACCTACTAGCAATAGCATAGTTATTGCTTTTTATGGCATTTTAGATAACATGTATTTAGAAATCAACATTTGCTTGTAAATTATTTATGTGAAGAAATAAAGTTTTGGTTAAAAAAAAAACCTAAAAATCTTAGCCCACTGTTGCCCAAAAATAAAAGAGATAAAATAAAGCACAGGAAATATTATTTATCTGTATATAATAAATAATAATAAAATAATTGATATAAGTTTTCGATAAGTTTAAAGTGATTATGATCCTGAAAAGGTCATACAGAACACTACAACTTATCATAATCACAATGCGTAAACTGAGTAATAAATAATAAATAGATAAGAACTACTTTGGCATGGACAAAATTAATGATGCAGCATTTTATAGAACAATTGAATCTTTGTTTGATTGATTGTTATAGTAATAGACAAAGATAACTGTTTTTTTATTTTGTTACTTCTTCCCAACATATTAATACAAAAATGTATAAAAACTGACTTACCATGAACAAACTTGGGTTCACAAAAATCGTACTCATCCATGGCGCCAGATAGTCTCATGAAGTCTTCGAGCTTCCGATTTGCATATTCAACAATATCAGCCTGTAGTTCCATGCCATGATTAATTCCATTAGAACCCAATATCAGACCGACCATGGTGCTCATAAATCCTGAGCCTGATCCAAGGTTTAAGAAAGACATTGCGGGTTGCAACTCTAGGGCCTCCATAGCTACAGCGTAAATACATGGAGAGGAGATATGTAAGTTCTCCCATTTCCATGCAGTCTCGTTGTAAGCATGGGCCCTGATTCTGCGTGGGAAATATTCACCCCTGTCTACGGCTCTAAATACTCTCTCGACTGGGCCGGTTGTAATAAAGTTTCGCACTATAAGGCTTTCAACGAGATCGTTATTACTTTTGCAAGTACTTGGAGCGACCCCCATGGTAAAACAGGGAACAGCAAATCTAAATGAAAAGAGAAAATAAAAAATCAGTTTAGGGACTAGGTCCAAACAATAAACATTTTTTGTGTTCTAACCTAATAAGGTAGTGATTTAATAAAGGCTGAAAAAGCATTGAAAAAATAATATACTAGCGAAATTCGACACTTACTTCAACGAATTGGTAGATATTATATGGAACAGAAGGGAAAATAGAACGAAACACTAAAATATAGTGCCACTTTTCTCCAGAACAAAATGTTCAATGTTCACTTCAACAACAGAAAAACTCAAACAATAAAAATAACCTAGACAAATGGTCCTAACTGTCAACTGTCATGATTGTCCATGGTTAAAGTGTCAAAAGTCATTTTGGAGAGATTAGGGGTTTTCGTTTTTCATTTCCATTTAAGCTCTACCACTCCAAAGAAAAGAGCCTTCATTAAGCCCAGTACTCATAACCGCGAATTGCGGATTTTTATTTTGCGGATTTTTTGCTATTGGTCGATTTTATTTAAATTTGACAGGTTTAAATATAGGTCTGTTTCTGCAGAAATCACAAACCAGTCGGAGCGAATTTCATTGGTTGAAAAGAGTCAGAAAACTAGTTTCAACCAATGAAATTCGCTCTGACTGGTTTGTGATTTCTGCAGAAACAGACCTTATAATCGACCAATAGAAAAAAATCCGCAATTCGCGGTTATGATGAGTACCAGGGTGAAGCCTAGTACTCATAACTGCGAAATTCGCATTTTTTTGACGTTGCTTCGACAATTTGACGTTTGATTACAAGGCTAATGGCCATTTCCACCAACCATTTTAGGGGAGCCCTAACGATGAGTATTCCCTAAAATGACATTTTTAGATGGAGAAATGTCAGTTTAAGGGCGAGTATTATAAAACTGCTTTGACAGTTAACTTGAAGTTAACTTTTTGAATTACATGTATTTTCAAAAGTTAACTTTGGGTTAACTCTCAAAGTAGTTTTATAATACCCGCCCTAAGGCATACCTATCGTTAGGGCTTCCCTGAATTAGTTGGTGGATATGGCCATTAATGCCTCATTCTCACTTGCGCGAAATTCGCCCTTTTTTTGACATTGCTTCCACAAGTTGACGTTTTATGCGTGTATCAAACGTCAGAAATTTCGAAGCAATGTCAAAAAAGACCTAATTTCGCGCAACTGAGAATGAAGCTTTAAGCTTAATTCTCATTTGCGCGAAATTCGCTCTTTTTTGACATTGCTTCGACAATTTGACATTTGATACACGCATAAAACGTCAAATTGTCGAAACAATGTCAAAAAAAGAGCTAATTTCGCGCAAGTGAGAATGAGGCATTAAGGGCGGGTATTATAAAACTACTTTGAGAGTTAACTTAAAGTTAACTTCTGGAATTACACGTAATTCAAAAAGTTAACTTCAAGTTAACTGTCAAAGCAGTTTTATAATACCCGCCCTAAGAGTGAAATTTCCGAGGAAATTTCTTAAGGCTAGTCTCCATAGACACGAAATCGCGATTTTTTTTGCGGATTTTTTTTCCTATTAGAATTTGACATTGAACATTTGAATGTCAAATTTTAACCAGTAGAAAAAAATCCGCAAAAAAATATCGCGTCTATGCGGAGACTAGTGTATAATAGATCTGTTTCTGCAGAAATCACAAACCAGTCAGAGTGAATTTCATTGGTTGAAACTAGTTTTCTGACTGTTTCTGATTGGTTTCAATCAATGAAATTCGCTCTGACTGGTTTGTGATTTCTGCAGAAACAGACCTAATTATTCATAATTTTGAGAATATTTTCTCCTAATTCAATGGTAGATGTCAGGATAACAATAAGTAAATAGAATTAACAGTGTGTTAGATTTTAGTGTGGCATGCAGACTTGTAAAAATTATAATAGGTCTATTTCTGTAGAAATCACAGACCAGTCAGAGCGAATTTCATTGGTTGAAAACAGTCAGAAAACTAGTTTCAACCAATGAAATTCACTCCGACTGGTTTGTGAGTTTCTACAGAAACCTCGACCGAAACAGACCTAATAATAGAATTGTTACTTGTTTTAATCTTTTGGTTTTTCTGGAGCGGGAGAGTGTTCTTCTCCTAGTCGGTTCTGGAGGATGCTGCGTTTCTTAAATGTTGCGAGTGGTGGTACGATGTAGCAGTTGAAGGGGTAATGGCGGTCCCTCAACTATTTAGAAAATAAACGACACCGAAATGTGAGAATTTTTACCGAAATGTTTACTTTGAAACATGCTATATGGAATAGAAGGGAAAATAGAAGAACGAAACACTAAAATATAGTGCTATTTTTCTCTAGAACAAACTGTTTAAGTTAAACAGTTTAACTGAACAACAGAACAGCTGAAACAATAAAAATAAATTAGAAAAAATGGTCCTGTCAAACGTCATGATTGTCAAATATGTTTCCCTTTCATTTCCATTTTAGCACTAATATTTGTTGAATAAATTGAATTGAATTGATAAGTATGAGTAATATGAAATTTCACTTTAATAAAGGCTCTTCTCTTCAAATTACTACGTTTTCATGGAGCAGAGGCAAAATTGGAATTGAAATCAAATTGCAAGTTTCTGAATTTAAATCTTGATACGATCCCAAAAAAGGTAAAACAACCTTGAGACTGAAATCGATTTCAGTAACTGTTTTCATGAGGTTTTCAATACCAAAACCGTATTCAAAACAATTTTAAAACTCCATGAAAACGTAGCTCGAAACGTAGTAATTATTATCGATATCAATTTTGGGAATATTTACGGTTTCAAACGATCTGCAAACCACCCACACAAAAACTAAATATTAAATGGGCGATGACGTCACCAATCTCTGCGGGAGTGCTCCGAGAGCGATTATTATCAAAACGTAAAAAATCCTATAGAACGAAACACTAAAATATAGAGCTATTTTTCTGTGGAACAAACTGTTTAATTGAACGACGGAAAAACTGAAATAATAAAAATAACTTGGAAAAGATGGTCCTAACTGTCAACTGTCATGATTGTTTATGGGTAAATTGTCAAAAATCATTTTGGAGAGATTCGGGGTTTCCCTTTCCATTTTCATTTTAGCTCCACCGCATGTAATATGAAATTTCCCTTCAATAAAGGCTCTTTTCCCTAGAGGCTCTAAAAGAGCCCTCATTTAATTGAAGTTTCATATTTTTCATACTTATCAATATTATAGAATTGGATTATTTGCATTTTGGATTCGAAATACCCAATTATTATCGATGCCTATAACGAGAAAAAATTATCAATGCGCCTGACACACTATTTATTCCTGTCACAATAGCTTTTTATCAATTCAAATCAATGGGAATACTCACGGTCTCAAAACGATCTGCTAAATCACGAAAGGACGCCGTTCACAAGTCACAATCCACCTACACAAAAAGTAAATAATAAATACTGATTACTGGTAAAACAAAGTAAGTACCCAAAGTTCATTGGTACCCAAGCACCTGTGGGAGAGACTCTCCTATAAATAGATTTTGTCGGTTGTCAAATGTCAAGGAAACTGTTTGTTTTTTTTTTGTTGGCTTCACTGCTTCCAGCGCTCCCCGTTTGGGCGTTGGGCGGTGACGTCACCGATCTTTGCAGGAGTGCTCCGAGAGTGATTATAATCAAAACGTGAAAAATGCTATATGGAACAGAAGGGAAAATAGAACGAAACACTAAAATATAGTGCTATTTTTCTCTACAGCAAACTGTTTAATTGAGCCAGAGAAAAACTCTAAACAATAAAAATAACTTGAAAAAGATGGTCCTAACTGTCAACTGTCATGATTGTGGTTAAATTGTCAAAAATCATTGGAGAGATTCGAGGTTTCCATTTCCATTTCCATTTTAACTCTACCGCTCTAAAATACAAATAATCCAATTCTATAATATTGATAAGTATGAATATTATGAAAATTGACTTTAATAAAGGCTCTTTTCCCTTTATTCAAGTGAAATTTCACATTATTCATGCTTATCAATATTATGGAATTGTATTATTTGCATATTGGATTCGAAATACCCAATTATTATCGATACCTATACAGAGAAAAAATTATCAATGTGCTTCTTATCAATTTTGGGAATATTTACGGTCTCGAAATGATCTGCTAAATCACGAAAGGACGTCGTTCACAAAGCACAAACCACACGAAAACTAAATTGTAATAATTACTGATTACTTTACTGGTTACAAGTACCCAAGTACCTGCTGGACTTACGGGAGACTCGGGACCACTCGGGAGGGAGAAACCTATAAATAGATTTTGCCGGTTGTCAAAGGTCAATTGTCATAGAAGGTATCATCGATGATTTTTCGGTTTACTGGAGTGCGTTCGAAAGCCCAGGGTCGTCACACCGAGTGCACACCAGCCATGAAGAAAAATTCCAGCCATGAATAACACTCCTGCTCCCGGCGCGACACGTCTTGGCGGTGACGTCACAGATCTCTGCGTAAGTGCTCCGAGAGCGAATATAATCCAAACGAGGACACACCATTTGAAATCAACAATCAATAGCCGAATGTTCAACAATCAATAGCCGAACATTGTTTTGATTAAACTTTTTGATATATCCAATTTGACGGAGTAAGAAAAAGTGCTCTGTGTGAGATTTGAGAGCGTTCTATTGCTCAAGTCAAACATGAGAATTTCGCCGACAGCAACGCTTCGATTTAGGCCGAACATGTGAATCCGTTTCGATGGCTTAGGGCGGGTATTATAAAACTGCTTTGACAGTTAACTTGAAGTTAACTTTTTGAATTACATGTTATTCCAGAAGTTAACTTTAAGTTAACTCTCAGAGTAGCTTTATAATACCCACCCTTAGACCAATCGAATGCAGTTTTGAGGCAAAAGTCGAAAACGGTATATGACGACGGGTTTGGAGCATTCTAGATTGCCGCGGAATCTATGAAGTATCCTCATTCATCATACGAATAGGAGAGAAAACTGGATCTAGAGTTGGAATTGTCTTTCTCGCTCACTATTTAAATTAATACAAAATAATCTAGGTACTCCAGTCAAAAAACAAATTATCCCCTCGAGAAATTCGGGCAAATAATTACTCAAATACAAGAACTGTGCGGACAGTCCTAGAAGATTTCAAAACCGATGGCCCGAACAAAGAATATGTCAAAATTCTAAAACTGAAGGTTCGAACAGCTTTGTTTTGGTTCGAATTATGGAACGGTACTGGGATTGCGCAGAACTGTTTGCGAGAGAACCATTCTAGAACAATCCCAGAATTTTTCTTATAGTTCTAAATAAACCTAAACGCTGTCAACACAGTTCGATTAAGATTATGAAAAAAACGAAAACGCGTTTTATAACATGCGCATTTGCAGAATGGATCCGAACTACATCCGGGTGAAACTAAAACAAAGCTACTAATAAACAAATGCGCAAGCGTAGTAAAATTCACAATTGATTCTGGACTATTTGGAACTTCTAGGATTTCCCGGCAGTGCTGCGCACAAAAAAATAATGGAGGACTGTTATAACACTAGTTCTGAACCGATTCGGAACCAAAAAAAACAGAACAAGCCGCAAATCACAAGGTTTTTTTGTTTGTGTTTCACTAACTTGAACTGAGCGCAAATTTTTTTCGGTTTGTGACGTCACTAGTTCAAGTAACGCTCGCCAGTTTGCTGCGTAACACAAACGAATCCCCAAAACAGGAAATGCTGTTTCGAACAACACAAACAAACAAACCTACAGAATTCTCTAAAACAGTTCCTACTTCAGAGCAAGAACTGAAAAAAGCGTTCTGGCAGAATCCCAGAATTGTGCTTATATTGTTTTAATAATCCAGAACGTTGTCAACCGAGTTCGAATACGATTCTGAAAAAACGAAAACGCGTTTTACAACATGCGCATGTGCAGAGTGATTCCGAACTAGTTCTGAGTGAAACCACAACAAAGCTATAATAAACAAATCCGAACAAACCTAGGCTTTGTTTTGGTTGGAAATTTGGAACGGTCCTGGGATTTCGCAGCACTGCAAAAAAAACTTAAACAAGCCGCAAATCACGGATTTCTCCTTCAGAGCAAGAACTGAGGAAAGCGTTCTGGAGCGATCCCAGAATTGTTCTTATGTAGGCTGGGTTCGGAATGGCCGAGCCGCGATGGACTAGAGTCGAAGTTGCGTTTTTGTCACGTGACTAAAGTGCTTCTGGCGTAAGTGAAACCAAACGCAGGGTGCTTTTGAAGTTTCTCAACTTACCGTGCGTTCGGTATTTTGATCTGAGTTCTTCGAGCTAGGATTTACCGTTCGTTTATTTAGGAAGTGTACTCGGTGCAGGCTCATTCGCGTTCATTTATCAAAATTTCGGGCACTCTAAAGGGGGCATTACACGGCTCGTGGAACGGCGCGTGAACTGGCACTCCACACGCCTTGTGAAGGGTCTGGCGCGGCAAATTTCGCGCCGCGCGTCTGTTCCCGTCGATGAGCGGCAAATTTAGCACAGTTCAAAGGAAACGCGCTGCGCGTGTTGGAGCAACTCGGAGAGTACATTCACACGGCGCGTGGAGCGAACGGAAGCGGGAAGTTCACCAATAACAAATATTTTTTTGTAATTTTTGATATTACTGGTATAAAAATGTTGTTGGAGAAGGCCTCAACATGCAGTGCGCGAACTTTCATCGAGGGGCGCAAACTTGACAATTCACAGGCCGTCTGACTGCGAGCACACTCCACGCGCTTGGCTTGCCAGTTCACACTCCACGTGCCAGGCACGCCGCTCCACACGCCGTGTAATGCCCACTGATCTCAAAAATAATATTTTTTAGATCAGTGGTAATGCCCCCTTAATGCAGCGTTCAACTGCTCTGTTCGCTCGATGGTCACGTGACTCAGGCTCCGTTTAGCACGCTCTGCTCTTTAAGCAAAATACCGAAAGCGGGTTAACCTGACCCCTAACAACTGACAAATTATTATTAGAAACTCAAGTTAGACCTAACCCGTTAACGTAATTTTTAAACCCTATTATTTACTATAGCGTCGAGTGACCGTCGATGCTCACAAATCAGTCGATGCATCACGGCGGGAGACATGACAAAAAAGCGGGAGTCTTGCGCCTAAATTGAGAGGGTTGGCAACCCTAGTTTAGCGAACGTTTACGGTTAAGGTGCACGCAAAGACTCGCTGAATAACATGACACGTAACTCGCTATTTTTGGTGAAAAGGATCTGCGCATGCGCACCTGTCTATCCTACTTTTGCGTCAACGTTTTTTGTCTAACTTAAAGTGTCTATTAAAGATTAACCTTTTTATACGTGTTTTCTATTTCTTTTGTTATTTCTGTGGTTGTGTGTTACATTCCAATACAAAAAAACAAAATGAACTTTGAGTATTTGGTGCCTATATTTAATTTTGCTAGGGATGTTTATTTTTCGGAGACTTGTCTGTAGAAGAAGAGGATTTTGACTTTATCATCAAGATTGAAAATATCATTTGATTAATGTTGCTCGCATGTCAAATAAGCAGTTTAAATTCATTCCGCATTCATTTACCAGGTTAATTACAGATGAAATATTGAATTGTTGACTATCTATTAAGTCGAATATAGTCGATTGTCGCAAACAAAGACTGAAAAAACTACAGTGCAGAAAAAACTAGAAAAATAGGATGGATGACGTCAAATTACGAAAACAAACACACTGCGCATGCCTGCTACGGCGCTTGCTAATGAAGAGGTGGTGCTTCCAGAGTCAGCTCTTTTGACTCCCGAACGCATGTGGAGTTGTCTTCTAGCTCAAACGCTGGAGTTTTTTTTCGCGAGGATAACCAAGCATAATCTTTTGCTGGATTATGTGATGTGTCATTTGTGCCATACTCCCACAACTCCCTTACCATCAAATTCTGGGATACTCGAGGATCAAGAACACTTAATTTGTTCTGTGAGAACAGACCGAAAATCACCTTTTCTACAATCAAAATCGACGAAAAAATTAACTCACTATCACAGCCTGATTCGCAAGCATTTCATCGAGGTCTGCGAGTGACGTACTCACTATAAGCTGCTAATAGTTGTGAAGGAGTTAGGGGAGTATGACACAAGTGACACATCAGATAATCCAGCATAATCAGATTTCGCTTGATTATTCTCGCGAAAAATTGCCTACAGTTCGATTACGATTCTGAAAAAACGAAAACAAGTTTTATTACATGCGCATGTGTAGAATGATTCCGAACTAGTTCTGAGTGAAACAAATAGAGCTCAAACTGTTTTGGAATTTTGTGATTTGCGACTTGTTTTGGTTTTTTTGTTTCCGGTTCGGTTCAGAAAATATTTGAACAGTCCTAGTCCTCCATTATTTTTTGTGTGCAAGCAGTTTTGGGGAGCAGATCTTTTTGCTAGGCTACTATACGGGGCTACCTTTTTTTGAATATTTTTAGCCATGTAAATTAAAAAAAAAACCTGTGATCCAACTCGAGCTTATAATTCTTTTCTCACCGAAGCTGCTCGAAAAATTAAATATCAGAGCTTTGCCCAAGTTAAAGCCTATCTTCTGCTCTCAGCTGTTTGGAGCAAGCAGAGCAGAACAAACAAATGCAAGGAAAATGTATTTCTACTTGTTTCGTCAAGGTTGAGAGAAAGATGGAGTTATGCTCGGTGCGCAATAAATTTACCAATCGTAAAGTCCATTAAGCCTAGTACACATAACTGCGAATTGCGCATTTTTATTTTGCGTATTTTTTTCTATTGATCCAATGTATTTAAACCTGTCAAATTTAAATATAATCGACCAATAGAAAAAAATCCGCAATTCGCGGTTATGAGTACTACGTCTGAACCGAGCGCACTCCGAACGCTCCATTCTCTCTCTGATCGTGCGTTCGGTATTTTGACCTGAGTTCTCCGAGCTTGAATTACCGTTCGTTTATTTAAAAAATGTGCTCGGTGCAGGCTCATTCGCGTTCGTTTAATAAAATATCAAGCACTCTGATACAAGCGTTTAACTGCTCTGTGCGATCGCTGGTCACGTGAATACTGTTCCGCTCCAGCACGCTCTGCTCTTTGAGCAAAATACCGAACGCAAGATGAGATCACTAAATAGAGAAAAATCCAAGCGTTTCCAGATGCGCCCGACCTGTATCTTGAACCTTGAGCGCGCCCCTGGAAACTATTCTAGTCGCTTTTTCGTAAATCGGCAATCGTTTCGGACTTTTTCTGATGTCAAAACATCCAATAGCGGGAAATTCGTATTTACCCGCACTTCCCCACACCACAATCATCTGGGCAAAACCATCAACCGCATGCGCCCGCAAGCAGGCAAAATTTTAATTTTCGCTCGTGGCTTGGCTAGTGTAACTTATAACTAATAATCTGACGTTTGTGGTATTTCTTTGGCAATGAGATTGTTTGTGAAAAACTATTTTGAGTTTTTGTGTGAAATTTAATTATTTCTTCCTGGACTAAGTTTTGTTCCAATTTATTATTAGGTATATGGCTTAAGTATACTTTTATTTTATAATCCGACTCGGACCAGGAAAACATTTCGCAAAACTCCGGTAAGTAGGAAGTTTATGACCGTATCTACGAAAACCATATATTTGGTGATTTCTTATATTAGGTATATTAAACTTGCTTAAATTATTTATTATGCATTAGCACTTTATAACCAACAAAACACAATTTATGCCTTCTTATAAAAAAACAATATCAGTACTTACTAATCCTCCCCCAAAATGTTGCGATTATAACTTGTTTACTACTGTTTTTAATTATTTACAGACATGTCGAATTCAGCAGACAATTCAGCAGAGTCAGAGCAACTCGAGGAAGCCCTAGGAAACTCAAATTTAAATATTATTGAGAATAGCGCATTGGAAACGCAATCTGATGAAATCACCACTACAATGGAATACCACCAAAATCCCAAGGTTGTTCCGGATATTTCTCCCAAAAATAGTACAGTTTCAGTTAATGGAAAGATAATGCCTCTGGTTTACATTCAGAATGGTAAAATGCCATTTCCAAACAAGCTGAGCAAAGGCAAATTTTTTTTACACCAAGTATCACCTAACAGTGTAAATATTGTCACGAACATAGTCACCAAACCTGCCATCACTTCAACCAATACAATTTCTTTGAAAAATAAACAACCAGTTCTCATTGGAAAAGGCAAACAGTTAGTTTTGCCTAAAGTTTTGCCCAAAGTTTTGCCCAAAGTTTTGCCCAAAGTTTTGCCCAAGGTTTTGCCCAAGGTTTTGCCTGAAAAACAAATCACAATTGTTCCTAATAAAGGTGGCAAAGTCACCCGACCCTTTGTCACCATGCTAAAACCATTTCCCAAATCTGAGGGTCAGTCGCCCATAAAATTGGAAAATGAGAGTACTCAAGGATCTGGAGAAAGTTTCACTCAAGGTATTACTATTCCAAAAAATTCAACACCATTTCAAACGCTAACAAAGACACAACCTCCAAAATTTCTACTAGCTAGACCATTATCAAAGTTATTACCAATGCCAAACATTCCATCAAATAAATTACCTTTTACTGCAACTACCTTGGCAACTACAAATACCTTACCAATAGGCAAGTTTACTGTTTTACCAGTACCAAAACCAAAAGGAGAATCGAAACTATTCCCGAAATACACAAACATAAAGATAGCCGATGGAAAATTGTGTCCACCACAAATTCCTCCATCCACTGTTACAATACTAAATGAGAATTTTAGAAGACCCGAACCTAACTTTATCCCAGAAATTAGTAAAACTGAAAGTGACCTGGAGAAAGATGATACAGTTTTACCTGATAATGAAAACAAATCTTATGAATTATCAATAACTGAAGAAGAATTATTTAGTAACGAAGTTAACTTTGGGTCGCCAGACAATCATTCTTCAAGTGAAAATTCACCTGTAAATAGACAACCAGTCAAATTAACTCCAGGTGCATCACTTCTTAAGAAAAACCCTACAAGTAGTGTTCTTCAAGATAACAACAAAAGCCTTGATATAAACAATATCAGTAAACTTGATAAGCAAAATAATATTACTATTATAAAACCAAATGGCATGGAGGAAAAAATAATAATGACAATGTCTGGGTCATCTATCAATCAAAGGCCAGAAAGTGAAAAAAGCAGTAGAAGGAAGTGTCAGGTCAATGCAAAAAAAGATTTTGACATGGAAATAAAATTCCTTGAGGATGTGCTACCAGAAGCCAACATCAAGGAAGAGGAATCCATGCCTGATGTATCAAAAACCGAGATGAAAACAGAAAATCCCATTATAGAAACATTAAAAGAAGAAGTTAAAGAGAAACCGCCAACGGCTATTGATACTGAAATTAAGTCTGAAGATTTGGAAGCTACCCATTCAGAAAAACCAGAGGAAAAGCCTAAAACAATGCTAGATCCTAAAGCTTTTCTAGGTCTTAAAAATTTAGACTTGGGGGATGCCTATAAATGTTTGGTTTGGGAGGATGATATAGGCAGTCTTCCTGAAAGTGATTTGAAATTTATTATTAACGAATTTGGAATTTTGGAATTCCTGGAAGAAACTGAATATAAGAAAATCTTGAGGAAGAAGGCAAGAAAAGTGAAGGAGAAAAACAATTTGGAACGAGAAGTGCAATGTGTGGAATGCGGGTGCCATGGAATCCGAGCGGATTTTGTCAATACAAATTTTTGCAGTTTGGATTGTCAGGACATAGTCGCTAGGAGACAACTTGAACCATCCACAGGTAAATTTAGCATTTTTATTCAAACTAAATAATTTATTTTTAAGTAGGTGAGTTGGTAAGTATGAAAAGTTCAGTTGTAAAACCTTTTTTTTAAATAGTATACACTTACCCTTTACCTACTTAAATTATGATATATATTTTTTTTTAATTTCACACATATTCCACATACAATGTCTTATGAGTAGGACTCTTTTATTAGGGTCTCTGGATTACTGGTTTGGCATTATTCCAACTTCGTCATGCTGTAAAATCCAAACTCAGTTGTTCTATTCTCGTTTTTACGAGTTACCATTAATTGTGCAATATTTTTGAATTTTATTAAATTTCAAAATTTTAAAAATGTCAATTTTCAATTATTGAGAATCTAGAATATTTTCCCCAACTGATACTCTTAGCTCACACTTCGCTGTTGAATACAAACAGGCAATAAAATATAAGTTGTTGAACTCAGTGTTGAAAAAACTTAACTAAATGTGTACTGAGGCAGTGGTACTAGCATAGTAAGGTATTGCTTGTTATGGCATTTTGGATAACATGTATTTAGAAATCAACATTGTTTGTATGTTTTTTTTCTACTTTGAATTGGTGTAAATAGATCCCCTAGAAAAGAAAAAAAATACTGTTTTTATAGGTTTGTTTACGTTGCGGTCCAATAAATCTCAACAACAGAATTAGTCTAGGAAAATTGTTGAAAAATACAATAATGCATTGCAAAAAAAAATTCCTACCCAAATGAACTTTTCAGGGATGATAGGGGGCGGGTGGGTGATCATAAAACCGGAGATATCACACATTCACCCCTCTGGCGTTTTGCGCTATAGGGGTTGAAAGTGCGCCATTGGCGATTATTTGGTACCTATTGATTCTACAAAAAAATGTTTCAAATAAAAGATGTGCAGCATTATTTTTGATCTACAATGTTTATCTAAAGACTTTTTGATTAAGGGCTGTCAGTGGTCATAACGGCCGTTCAAAATCTATAATGAAAATAAAAAAATTTAATCAACATGAAAAGAATTTCTACAAGACATACAACACTTTTGCTTAATGAAGTTTTTACTCACCTCCTGCCGTTTTTCAATAGGGGTAGTCTAGTAGTAGTTTTTTTTATTTTTTTACAAAAATATTTTCTTAATAAAAGTTTTTTAAGATTACATTTCCTACAATTTTTCCTTTTAACTTTTTTCGTAACTCCCCCCATTCAGCGGGAACACTTCCCTTAGGTTAAACATTTTTATTTTCATTATAAATTTCAAACGGCCCTTAATCAAAAAAGTCTCTGGATAAACATTGTTGATCAAATAATGTTGCACATTTTTTAATTGAAACATTTTTTTGTAAAATCAAATCAATAGGTACCAAGTAATCGCCAATGGCGCACTTTCAATCCCTTTAGCGCAAAACGCCAGAGGGATGAATGTGTGATTTCTTCAGTTTTATGATCACCCACACGCCCCTTATCATCCTGAAAAATTTATTTGGGAAGGAGTATTTTTTTTGAAAATCGACAATTTTTTTAGACTAAATTTACTACTATTGTTTTAGCACTAATAGAAAGTATTTCTTCCAAAATAAAGTTCTTGCAAAGGTGGTAGCTTACATCAACCAAGCACCTCCACTGTCTGAAATTACAAAGGAAGCCGAAATTTGAACCACCACCACCAGAGTTTTAGAGTTTTTTTGGACTCTTGAATTTTACAAGAAACAATTTTCCAGAAACATTAGAAATAAATTCCTCTAAACTCTTTGCAAATTCCTCCAAACTGCTCGCAAATTCCCTGCAAATGCCTGTTACAAATTCAATAAAAATCCCCATAATTGTTTGTGATAAGAAATGTATTTTTCTATTTTTATTACGCCCAGTGTTACAACCAATAAGTTCCCCCGATTTCTCATACATTTCTCCAATTTCCCATAAATTCCTTCAAGTTCCCCACATATTCCTCCAAACTCCCCACAAATTCCTCTAAATTCCCCACAGTTTTAGCAAAGTATTCCTAAGTGGTTTGCTGCTTAAAGGTGAACAATCACAGAAAACTTTTTATTTTTTTCCTAAATTTCAATGCTTTCTTTATCCACTTGCAAAATTTCAAGCCAATCCTTCAAAGGCTTTCCTCAAAAAAAAAATAAAATGTCCTTCAATGTCGTTTTTTGAAGCTTCAATTTTCCCAAAATGATATTGAACCACATTTTACCTCACATCTTTGTTAATTTCAATCTGATCGTAACGTTATTAGGCTTGAAATAAAGCTAATTAAATTCTCTACAAATACTCACTGAATAATTTCAATGTAGCTTGAATAGTTTTCCACTATTCAAGCTTCAGAGTTTTTTTCGAGGTTTTTTTACTTTGATTTTTACTAATGTGAACAAGGTCTATGGAATAATAATAATATATTCTGAATCGAGTTCTGAATTTACGGGAATTTATTTTGAAAACTTTAACAAAACTAATACCTAAATGATATTCTTAACACAGAAATATTTCCACGAGAACTGAAAGTAAACAAGATTACACCAATTTATAAATCTGGTGACTCAAAGTGTATGAGTAATTATAGGCCGATGGGTAATCGAAAAAATGATAAAAAAAAGGATGATGAATTTTATTAATCACAATTAACTTTTGACAAGTTCCAGTATAGTTTTATTAGAAATACTTAGTAGCACTTTGGGCGCTACTTTTGATTTTGTCAATTACACCTACAAAGCTTTAGAAAAAAAATTGTTTTAGGTAGCTGTTTTTATTGATTTGAGTAAGGCTTTCGATGTGGTCAGCATAGACATACTTCTGTTTTGTTATGGGCTTTAGAGAATCTATATTTCCGCTTATTAAATCGTATTTAGGCGATAGAAAACAATATGTGAAATAAGGTAATGTAAAGAGCGAGTTACTAACTAATATGTATGGGGTACCGCAAGGTTCTGTCCTCGGTCCTATTTTATATTCTTTGTATGTTTTGAGCCTTAGATGTGCAAACCTAAAAGCTCAGTATTTCACTTTTGCCGATGATACAGCTTTAGTCTACACGGGAGAAAATGAGACACAACTTATGCAAGAAGTCAATGAAGATCTTAATCTATACACTAACTGGCTCTACTTTAACAAATTGAAAATCAACGCAGATAAAACTAAATATATGCTCTTCAAGCAAAAAAAAAATAAGCGGGTTGAAAGGACAAATATTGAAATTAATAACAACTTTGGAAATGGTTACTGAGATTAGATATCTTGGTCTAATTATTGATGAGTCATTAAATTGGCAAAGCCACATAAACAAAATTAAAAATAAAATTGTTCCAATGATGCCCATAATCTATAAATGTCGTGATTATCTATCTATCAAAACAAAAAGGAATATCTATAATGCCTTTTTCTGTCCCATCTGCGTTACCTACTGCCTGTATGTGGAACCTGTTCTAGATAGGTTTGATGAAATTCAAATTTTACAGAATAATGTCTTGAAAATTTTATTCAACTGATATACTTACAAGCACAGATACCCTATACAGTGAATTAGGTCTCTGCAGGTTAGACAAAATACTAAATCTTGAACAGGGTAAACTAATGCATAAAATTATTTTATAAAAACAAAAAATAAATACAAATATAACATTTACCAACGAAATACATAGTCATAATAGGAGAAATAATAATAAGGTATATCTAAACTACAGTCGAATAAATATTGGTCTTTATAGCCCAATACACGGAATATCTAAATTGTATAATTCGATACCGGAAGATTTAAGAGTGATGAATAACTACAATGTGTTCGTAAAAAGACTAAAAACACTCCTAGGAATAAAATAAAAAGAATCAACTCTTGTTGCTAGTTGCTAGAAAAACAAATAAATATGATACTGTTGTTTTAGTTTTAAGTACCTATGGTTAATTGTTTGAAGTTTATGAATCATACTCTCGAGGCCAGCGCTTTCAGCACTGACTGGAGAGTCTGTTAAACATTGTTAAATATATTATAAAGAAATAATAATAGATTATTTTCAAAAAAAAATACCGCAACGAAAATGAATTTGACAAATAGTAAGTTAGAATTTTTCAATATGAATAGAGTTTTGGTACACTAAACACATACAACTTGGTTAGATTATAAATATGTATTGATATTTTTCAGAATTTTTCAATAGACCTATAGACATTCTGATTTTTATACTCTTTTTCAAAAATACCTACTTTAAATTTTTTCGCTTCAACTCCCTACCATGTACAGTGTGGTCATTTTATCTTGATAACATTTCAAACTGTCATAATTTCTTTATTTTTGAAGTTATTTAAATAAATAAAAAAACATACTGTAGGGTTTTTCTCCAAGTTTTAGATAGGGTGGACAAAAAACAAAAGACTAATATATTTTGACAGTTATGCACACAATTAGCATTTTTTTAAATGGAACACCCAGTAAATTTTTAGTTTGTTTGATAATATGTTTTATTCTGATTGCAATATATACAATACAATACAATTGAATACAATTTACCTCATATTTACATGCAGAAATGTTTTATTTATTCTAAATGAAAATATTGATTACCTACACAGATTACCTGCAAAGGTAGGTAGGTAGACACAATTTTCCATTAGAATAAATAAAACATTTCTGCATGTAAATATGAGGTAAATTGTATTCAATTGTTTCATTTAAAAAAATGCTTTTTATGTGCATAACTGTCAAAATATATTAGTCTTTTGTTTTTTGTCCACCCTATCTAAAACTTGGAGAAAAACCCTACAGTATGTTTTTTTTATTTATTTAAATAACTTCAAAAATAAAGAAATTATGATAGTTTGAAATGTTATCAAGATAAAATGACCACCCTGTACAATGTGCAGAGGTCATTGTGAACTACGCACATAACGACTTTGCCGAATAGTAGTGGTGCGTTAATTTTGCTGGCCAGTGTATTAGTTGACTATTTTTCCTCAGGATTTTTATTCTGTTTAATATAGATAAGAAAAATGTGAATAATCTGAGATTTTTGATTGATATTTGTCACTAAGGCAGGAACAAGCTTGCTTTTTAATACAAAACAGTGGGTTTTTGAAATGGGTTTTATTGTATGCCAACCCTGTTTAAAATGAGATTGATGGTTTAAGCACTTTCGGTTCGTTTCTGGGAAATTGTTACTTGTAGAATTTAAGATCGTAGCATGGCGTAGTAACGCCAAAATTGTTTGAATATTACGACGCGATTCAGGTGTCTCTCAATCTTTTTGGCGATTTGTGAAAACTTTTCCAGCGGGATTGAAAGATTAAGAACTCTAGACTATCAGTATATGGGTATTAGACTGTTTCTGACGTCTTCACATTTATTGATTTCACACATAATTAATTTCAATTTTCAGCGCCCGGAAAAGGAGTAAAACGTAAAACAATAAAGAAAGAAAAATCAGACAATGATATCAAAGACACCAGCGCAGAAGATGAGACCTCCAACGATACATGTCAAGGAAAATATGTTTATCCATGGGAATGCAAAAAGAAGGGATTTTCGTGGTCCAAATATTTGTTGCATATAAGTGCCAAATCAGCTCCTGTTAAATTGTTTAAAGATCCGTTTCCCTACACTCGAAATGGATTTAAAGTTGGCATGAAATTAGAAGGAGTTGATCCACAACATCCATCATATTTTTGCATAATGACCATTAAGGATGTTGTTGGGTATAGAATTTGCATGCATTTTGATGGGTGAGTTTTCCAATTATTTATAAAATACTTAGTTAAACCTTGATAGGAAGTTTTCTTGAGGTTGTTGGCATATATAATCAAGTGCCAAAGGACTGTGTGCAGATGATTGAATGAAACATGTTTCAAATTTTGCCAAGTGGATTCAGTTCAGTCCCCTTGTTTAGTGTATCCATACTTCTTGAAGCCAGTTTTTCCGCCAAGAGGCCTTCCTAACTCAACATGATTTTTTTTTCAGATATTCATCAAAATATGATTTTTGGATAAATGCGGATAGCCCAGATGTCTTTCCCATGGGCTGGTGTGAAAAGAACGGTCACTCACTACGCCCACCACCTCCATATACTGAAATGAACTTCAATTGGATACATTATCTCAAAGTAACGAAAGGCTTACCGGCACCAAAGCACCTTTTCATCAATAGAGGACAAGCAATTTGTCCAAATGGCTTCCGTATTGGCATGAAGTTAGAAGCAGTTGACAGAAAGGATACATCCCTAATATGCGTCGCCACAGTCAGGGACATGATGGATAATAGGATATTGGTGCACTTTGATGGCTGGGATGATATTTATGATTATTGGGCTGATCCGTCTTCACCTTATATTCATCCAGTAGGATGGTGTGATCAGTATGGACATGATTTAACTGCGCCAAGTGGTGAGTGAATTTGTGTATTTCCAGTGACCCTATATCAAGTTCAACAATAAAAATAAATAAAATAAAATCGTGCAAACAATAATAATTGTACAGGTTGACCCCATTCCAAATAGATGTCTCAATGAATATATTTTTTTTTCCACAGATTATCCGACCCCTGAAACTTTTACATGGGAAAAATACCTGAAGGAAACCAAGGCAGTAGCAGCACCTGTCAGGGCTTTCAAGCAGAGACCTGTGTGTGGATTCAAGAGGGGCATGAGACTGGAATGTGTGGATAAGAGGGTAACATTTTGGATTATTTTTATTCAGATTACTCTATTATTTCACTTTTTTCCCCCTTCTACATTGTGAACAATGCCAAGATTCTCTCTGGCGAACATCTACTACCCAACTTGAAAAATATTGCTGCTACGCCTAAATTGATAACAAATAGATATGGTTAATGTTCCTGATATTTCAATATCCATTAATTACTTCCACATTCAAATTTAATTGTTGGAAGTATCAAAAACTTTATAATGGGTGGAATTTTTTGATAGGTAAACATTTTTATAGCTGATAGGGGACCTTCATTTGTCCGCTAAGTCAGTTAAAAATAATTTCATGCATTTTATAGCTGCGATAAGTTTTCATAGCGTCACAGTTTTAGCATTTATGTTTATGCTTATGGTCTATAATATAATTTGAAACACATGCTAAAATGCTATTATACTTTTCGTATAAAATGTTTACTGCAAACAAAAATGGACTGAAAATGTTTCTGCTTCTAAGGCAAATATATTTAAATAAACAAACACATATTGTAACTATATTTTAGGTCAGAGTCTCGGTCAGAGTCAAACTTGCAATTCATTTAGCAGAATAATCTATTGTGCCTTTGCATGCAAAATCTCTACCTATTTCTTGTAATAAATTATGACAGCAGCTGTTAAAATAAGAAGAAATTATATATTGTAAACCTTATTGTTGGGAAAAGTTGCAGATATTAAAAATCCGAAAATTTTCAATTGGCCAAGAAATAAAAAAAGTTATGTAACCCTACAGAAGGTACTTTTGTGGCTCAGAGTATTTTCATTAATCCAGTATTACCAACAATTCCATAATATTTTTTTCAAGGTTCCTCATCTAATAAGGGTAGCAACAGTAGATGATGTCATGGAACACCAAATCAGAATTCATTTTGACGGCTGGCCAGATAGGTACAGCTATTGGGTGGAGGACGATAGTCCTGATATTCATCCAGCCGGTTGGTGTCAGAAGACAGGCCATCCTCTAGAACCACCACTAAGTAAGTACCAAAATTTCAGGCAAATGCCTATAGTATAGTTTATAATTTTAGAATCTATTTGAATTTGAATACTTTTTGACAAAGCGGTCTTTGTACCTTTTTTCTCTTTTCAGCGCCAGAAAACGTCTATGACTTCCTTGAATGCCCTACAGTGGGATGCAGGGGTCAAGGACACACTGAAGGTTTGGAACACACAACGCACTCTTCTCAAAATTTTTGTCCTTATGCCGACAACAATATTGACAAACTTTTGCCCGACAGGTTACTAACTCCTGATAGAAATATTGAGGAAAAGGAACCTGTTTCAAGACAACCTAGGAATACAAGGTTAGTTTCAAGCATTATTATTATTTTTTTTTTCTAATTAATTTTACTAGATAGATATTTTTTTGCTATTCGTATAGGTAATGAAAGACAAACAACACTATGTTAATAATTTTCAATGAATACCATGGAAAAAGTCGCCATATGAAACTAAATAACATGTGAAAATCCCTTGGAAAATCCTCTTCTTGACGTTGTAGATTTGTAGATTGTGAGGGAAGTCGTTTCGGCTTTCCAGCCGCTCAGATATTTTGTAAGTGACTCTACATCTTAAATTGTCTCCAGGAAGCGTAGACTTCTGCGGAAAGAAGCTATTTTTCTGGGTGTCAGATGGCCAACTTCTTCTGGTGACAGTGTTGCCTCCTCGAGGAATTTGAGCCTCTTGCAGAATTGGGCTGGATATTCGCAGAGCAGGTACTCTGCTGTCTCTATTACGTCTGAGCAGAATTTATAGAGATCGTCTTCTGCTCTGTCCATTAACCTTAAGTTGTATTTCACCAGGCAGTGTCCTGTGAGCAGTCCTATGATCATTCTGATGTCTGGTCTGCTCATGTTCAGGAGCTGTTGCGCTCTTTTTGCTGAAAGGGTGATAAACCTTTTTGACTTCTTAGTCCCGGACCGTGCCATATGATGACAGTCGGTCTTTCTCCTATTTGTTGAGTTCTTCCATGATGTGGCTTTTTATTAAGTCACAATAGGGCTCTGGTCTATAGTATGTGTTGAGGCCCCTTCTTTTGCGAGGCCATCTGTTTATTCGTTCCCTTCTATGCCTCGATAACCAGGCAGCCACATCAGCGTTGTGTGTCGCTAGTGTTTTTAGGGTCTGTTTACACTCCAAGACTAGGTTTGAGGTGCATTTTAAAGCCCTTGAGGCTTTTAAGGCAGCTTGGATATCTGATAGTATAAAGATGTGTTTTCCTTTGAGGCTTTGCTTGAGACACTCTTGTTCACATATGTTTATGGCAAGTGGTTCGGCTTGAAATATTGTAAGATGTTTGCCCAATGCCTGGGAGAGCTTAAAGTTCGAGTCGGAAATGCCCAGTCCAGCTCCTTCCGTTAGTTGGATCCATCTGTGCACCACAGAGATGCATTGTCTGCTTGTGGTAATTCTTTATTTTCCAATGATTGGCGCTCGTTTATTACCACTGCGAATGTGATCTCTAAGTCCAATCTGACCATCATGTGGTCGCTTGGTTTGCTGGCATTCTCCAGTTTTACTATTTCAAAAATGCGCAGATGTCCCCTCAGATCACCAGGCTTGAATTTTCTGTTTGGAATAGCCTGTGAGCGAGCGCTGATTATTGCCTCCTTTTTCACACATAGATGAAGTGGAGTCATGTTAAGCAGCGTCTCTAGGGCTGCGGTGGGGCAGGTCGACATTGCTTCCATTATTCCTAGGCATATCAACCTTTGCACCTTGTTTAGCTCGATCTGAGCGGTGATTTGCTGAGTTTTGGGCCACCATACCAATGAAGCCTATGTGACCATGGGCTTTATTATAGTTTGGTAAATCCACTCCACTCATAGCCTTTTTGCAGTTGTTCGAGAAAGATTCCGTCTTTTCCTGGAGATTTGTAGGGTCTGAAGCTATCAGTCACCCATTTTCTTCTGTTCATTGTGAAGATTTTCCCTGTCAGTCTTTTACGTCTCCCGTTAGGGCTTTGAGATCCTTCAATAGGCGGAGTGACCTGGTTCAGGGCTTCTACACTTACCGACCCTGGAAAGTGAGTTTGTACAGTAACTCTGGACTTTCTATATGGTCGGTACAGTATTTTCCGTTTGACTTTTTAACAGACCAATTCCGTTTGAGTGGTTTTTTGAGACGTTGAGCTGGGGCTAATTCATGTATCCCCTCGCAGAATTCTCCATGATTTTCTTTTTGATTTTCCCAATTCACGGTTGTACTTATCTAGGGCTGTTCTTCAATCTGCCCAGTTACTGTTAGGTTTTTTCTTGTTGAGGAGTTTTCTGGCATCTTCTTTCAGACATCTCAGCTGACTGTTCCACCAAGGCACATCTCTATGGACAGGCAGAGACCTTCTTGACGTTTGACACAGATAAATGAATATTATGTATATCATTTTCAGCTTAATATCGTTATCGCTCGATTTTTCTTTTATTTTGACGAATTGAAATCCAAAAAACCTGGAATACTTAACCCTAGCATGGGCTTTTAATTTGTAATGGTATAATATTTTTGTATTATATGGCTCAGCTGGGATACCCTGTATAAAATTATAACTCATTTGTGTGTGATAATTTGTTTTCAAATTTTCATACATTCAACAGAAAACGATCTGATCATCCGAGTGATCATCATAACTTTCTTATTTTTTCTTGATTTTTGAAGGTGTTTTTTTTTTCATTAGAAAACCAGGAAATATCAGAATTTTATTATGGAGACAAAAAAGTCGCCCACAATAGGCAACACTGTGCCACTGTTGAGAGGTGCCATTTCATAAATCTCATTATCCTAAACACGACAGTAATCGCATTTGGTTCAATTCTTACAAAAGTCTCTTAATTTTTTTCAAACATTTTTTTTTTCTTCAAAAATGTCATATTGGTATTAAACTAACTTCGTATGCCTCTTTTCAGAAAACGTAAACTTCCAAAGCCCCCAAAATGGCAAAAACGTTCGTCGCAAGATAATGACGTCAATTATGAACCCACCAATAGGAAACGTAAAACCGGAGATTTCAAAAAACGGATTATTAAAAGGGAGCCTAAAACCGATGAGGACAAAAAACCCTCGACTTCTAATGGGGCGGTATCATCTACAAGCAGGATGACTCCTGGGACCCCGCCTCTCCCAAAGGATACTTATACTTTCAAAAGAGATCTCGGAATGGATCCAGCTGAAAAGGAATCGTGGAAGGCAAATTCAGATTTCTTAAGAGATTTTATACCAACTAATACAAACCCTTTGAAATGGTCTCACAAGGCCGTATATACATTTATGTCTGCAATACCTGGCTGTGAGATGGACATGGCCGTATTTGAAGAGCTTGAAATCGATGGTGAGGCGATGGTCCAGTTAAAAATTTCAGACTTGATGCGTTTTTTTAAACTCAAAGTTGGAGCAGCGCTCAAGCTGTATAACAGTATTTTGTTGATAAGAGAACAGATTTGTGATGGAGAAAAGAGAAAACCATAATTGTGATAAAAAGTCTGGATCCTCTTTTCTCATTAGTTTTGAAATAATTTGGTATGTAGATAGCTTTAAGCTATTTTTCTTTATTTTACTGGGTTTTGTTACTGTACTTATGTATCAAATTATGAATACCTATTCATAAATATTTACAAACCCGGTTCCATGAAATACAGGCGCAGAGCAACAGCAACAAGGCCCTACAAAGGGAAGTTGTCCAATGCTTCAAAAGTACCATGCCACACCTAATGTTTTCTTATTTTTTCTCTGGCTGTCGTTTTTCTGCCCATGTCGATTTTTTTGTCAAAAGTCAATTTTCTATAAATATTTCAAATGATCATTGGACAGCAGCAGAGGGTCTTCTATACACAACATACTAGTCCTATGACCGTCCACCATTTCCATGTGCATTTTTTTGTTTAAAATGTATTTGTCGCTGAGCTTTCTGCCGTAAAGTTCGAGAAATCCTATGAACCAAAATTGTCTTATCCCACCCTGATATTTTTTTCAGATCCCTTTTAAGTAGAAATTGTTTGAAGGCATAAACAAATTTGGCAAGCACTCTTTTTGACATGTTGAAGGATATCTTTACCTTAGCTTAATTCTTTTTATCCACGAGTTTAACGATGGAGGCGGAAGCCTTGTCCAACACCTTTATACTGTCCTCCTGAGCAACTCCTCGTTCCAAAAATTCCTGTTTCAAGGTGCGTAAAAGCAGATTTGACGATTTGCCTACAAGATCAATTTTGCTAGTTAGTAAGAACAATTCTGTACGATATGAACCAAATATTTTAACTTAAGCCTCGAGTAATTTGGACTTGGGAGTCATGTATTGATAGAAGTGTTCAATTTCTTTGTGGAGTCAGCGATTGCCCAAATTTTACTTTTCCTGTCTCCATAGAGCATCCAAAAACCGTTCATGAATTTTATTTATTGTTGAATTTTTCGTCATATTACCAGCATCGGTATCGCTACTATCCTTCAATTCCCCTGAAATAATACCCTCAATTTTCTACTGAATTTGCCACACTCTCAGCCATAGGACTTTGACTGAATACCAAGACTTTTATTTTATTTTACACAGAAAATCACACAACAAAGTCACACCACCGTCTTCTTGGTGTTTGCAAAAAACATTTTGACAGAGACAATGCTGAATGACAATATGAAATGAACTCTCAATAATGATTTGAATTATATGTATAGAAAATTGACTTCTGACAATATTTGTGATGCATCACAATGGTTCTCATTTACATTTTTTAATTTTTTTTGAGGAGGTTAGAACCAAGGTTTATTTTTCTTCAAATTTACTTCAACCCATTAAATTAGGTTCTGGGTGTCACAATGAAAGATTAGGGTTTATTAATTCCAATAGAAAAAACTTTATACTTTTTTTTTTAGATATTTAAGCACTACCTTTTTATTAAGTTAAACTTTTTTCAAGCATAACATAAAATATTTTGTACCACACAGAACTTCATCTTGGGGTTGGTCTCTTATAGCAGGTGCCATAATATTCCGCTGGAATTATTTTGCGAAAAAATCGTATCAGAACATGGCGGGTACCAAAATCTGAATTGAAAAGTCCCACCCTTTGAAATATGTTTTGTAAAAATTATTTTTGCATGTTGCACAGTGCTAAATAAATAAATAATAATTTTGTGTAAATATTTATTTGCATGTTCAATGGTTCGAAAATTCTCAAGTATATTTTTATGAGTAGGTATTTGCAACAGCTCTGCATATGCATTAGAGTGAAAATATGATTTTACAGACCAATACTTAGTTTTAGTTGTCAGTAAAGTGCCGATTCACACTGAGTTTTATGTTAATGGAAAATTGGTGTTATATCCATTCTACAAATCGGACTTTATTATTATTATTATTGTTATAAGGGAAAATAATTATTATGTATTTGTTTGATTTAATTTAATTGGAATTTACTTCTTTTTACACTTTAACTTTATTTCACTAATCATGTTTTTTCATTATTGTATTAAGAATAAGAATGTGCTCCTAAGTTTTTGCTATATCATCGTGTGATAAGCCGCTTTATACATGTACATATTTTGGTTTCTACTATAACCGAATAAAGTTTTTGTTTTCGTAAATTGTGTTTTTTTTGTGCTTTGTTTTCAGGATTTTACACTACATGGCTGTATCTCCTTGCTAATGAAGCTAGGTAGAAGGATGGATAATATTATAGAATGTCGAAGGTAAGGTGGACAAAATTCTAAACCTTGAACCTAATCATGTTTGAATAAAGAATGAAGGCTTTCACAACCGGTCAAATCTAGTAAAAAAGTTTTTTCCGGGCTATAATGCCGTGGTCCATTAGTATTTCTACCTAACGTTTCGTCTACTGCTGCGGTAGACATCTTCAGAGGCGGTGTGGTAGAGGACGAAGTGTTCTCTTCCGTGTTTCTCCGATGACTGAATTCGACGTTGAGGGAACTGCGTTATTTATATCCAGGGTTGTGGGCGTGGCTTGGATTACGGTATTTTCCTTGTCTCGTTCTCGGAAAGGAAGGGTCTTAGTTTTTCGGTGAACTGGCAACCAGCTTTTGTTGAGGTTCATGCCCTCTTCTTTTCTGTTGAAGTTGTTGTGGTGATTCTGTATCTCTATGGCCTCTCTGTGGAGCCTGGTGTAGAAATGTTTGGTTCTATCCAATGCTTGAGTCTGGTCGAAACGCATGACATGGTTTGTTTGTGTAAGCACGTGTTCGGCGATTGCTGATCAATCTGTTTGTCCTTGCTGACAGTTTCTTTTGTGCTCTTTGACCCTGGTGTTGATAGAGCGTTTGGTTGTTCCTACATAGACAGATCCACAAGAGCAGGGAATTCTATAGACGCCAGCCGATTTAAGAGGTGCCCTAGGATCCTTGGCCGATCTTAGACTTTGCTGAATTGTTCTTGTGGGCTCGTAGATAGGCTTAACGTTGTGTCTTTCTAGCGTTCGTCCTATGCGATCTGTGACATTTTTGATCCCTGCCACCTGTGCTGGTTCCTTGTTAGTTGTGCGCTGTTGCTTCGGTCCTATGGCTCTATTTATCTCCTGCTTGGAGTACCCATTTCCTTCAAGTGCTGATTTTAGGTGTTGCATCTCGTCCTGAAGGTGTCTCGGTTCACAAATCCGGATTGCTCTGTCAGATAGAGTTTTAATGACTCCTCTCTTTTGCCTAGGATGGTGATTAGATTCCTTGTTGAGATATCTGTCCGTATGCGTCGGCTTCCTATATACTCTGTGTTCCAGTTTGCCCGAGGGTAATCTTTTTAAGAGGACGTCGAGGAATGCAATTTTGTTATCCTTCTCAACTTCCATCGTAAACTGTATCCTGGGTTCTATTGAGTTTAGATGATTGAGGAAGTTTTCGAGCTCTGCCTCTCCATGGTTCCAAACAACAAATGTGTCATCTACATAGCGCAACCAGCAAGTAGGTTTCTTTGTGGCCGTTCGCAGTGCCATTTATTCGAAGTGTTCCATGTAGAAGTTGGCGATAACCGGGCTGAGTGTACTTCCCATTGCGACTCCATCTGTCTGCTCAAAGAATTAATTTTGCCATTGAGTACGTAGTCGTCAGACAGTGGTGAAATAAGTTGTTGATTTCCTCCGGAAAAACATGTTTTAGATACTCTAAGGCCTGATTTACTGGTACCTTAGTAAACAATGAGACGACATCAAAACTAACCAGAATATCGTTTGGTAATAGAGTGATATCACTGATCTTTTTGATGAAATGAGTTGAGTCCTTGACATAAGAGCTGGATTGGCCAATCCGTGGTTGAAGGAGGGTGGTGAGGTATTTGGCTATGCTGTATGTGGGCGAATCCTATTGCACTTACAATGGGCCTGAGTGGGTTGCCTGTTTTGTGAATCTTAGGAAGCCCATATATTCTAGGTGGTAAGGCCTCAGATTTGATGAGTTTCCTTATGTTTTCCGGCTCCAACGGTAGTGCTCGGACGAGTTGATTAGTTTTTCGCAATATAGAAGCAGTGTGATTACGTTTCAGCTTTCTGTAGGTGGAGGGGTCTAGAGGTTCGGAAATTTTCGATTCATAGTCAGTCACGTTCATGATTAATTACCGTTGCGTTTCCTTTATTCGCAGGCAAAACTAGTATGTTCTTGTCTGTATTCAGGCTGTGAATAGCTTTCCTTTCCTCGTATGTCAGGTTGCACTTTGGAGGTTTCGCAAATCGTAGATTCCTAGAGGTTTCATTGCGTATTTCCTCCGCACTGGTTTGAGGTAATGTGCGTATGCTGGCTTCCACATTTGCTATGATGTCTTCGAACGACAGGTCTTTCGGTGTTATCGCAAATTGCCTTCTTTTCTCAGAACACTGGTTTCCGAATCAGTCAGAACGCGTTGGGTCAGGTTGACAACTGTGCGATCATTGCCTGTGGGTTTCGTAGTGTTACTGGCTTCAAGGACTCAAACTTGTTTACCAGTTTCTTGGTTGTTTTCTCTAGTGTGGCTTCCATCACGTCATACGTCATCCGGTCAACTTTATCCCAGTCACTCCAGTGCATGCTGTTGGATAACCTTTGGTTTATCGATAGAAGATCCTTGTCCATAGCTGCTAGGTCTTTCCTGGTTTGGTGGATCCGTTCCCGAAGCAAGGCTCGGTCCTGCTTTTCTCCAAAGATGTAGAGACTCGAAAGTCGTTCCGAAATTCCTGAAGATTCGAAGAATTTTCAATTCCTTCCAATCTAACAGACTTTTCGAACGTAGTTGGTGCACATGATTTGTAGGGTTCTCACAAAGGAGGCCAGCTTCCTGAGTGGTAAAGTGTGCACTATGTTGCTATAAATAATAAAGAGCAACACATGGACTCTAACTCTAATCACCGTTTCAAAAATAAAAAGTCAAATATCACCCAAAACCGTCAACTGCATGGGAGATAAATACTTAGCGAAAAAAGCAAATAATTTATGGACATATGCCTACTACAATTATAACAAAAAGCTAGAAATACAGCAAACGATACAGAAAGCAAATACCTTGGTAGAAGCTGAAATTGAGCACAATAGAAATTGGAATTTTGTCAACTGCAAATTAAACAGAAATGTCAAAAATTTTGAATTACAGTTACGGTTATTGAAACAGGTTTGTAAGAATTTCTTCAATAATGCACCAATAGTTATAAATCATACTTTTCCCAGTTCACGTTCTCCCTCATTTGGGGCAATCCTGCACAAAGGTGTCCTTGTGGATGACCCTCCAAATATAAAGTATCCACCTCCTAGGGCTTAAAGATGGCCCTAAAATATCATTCGTTCTTATTGAGCAAATAATTAAAACTATATTTATGTAGATTGGAAATTGGAGACGGATTTTTGACCCTATCAAAAGATTCAGAGTGTCGAGCTTAAGCGAAACAGTCAAAAATATATAAGGTGATTGGTTTAAAATTCGAAAGTTGTGGCCATTACCACTCAAACTGCAAGTGAATGCCAAGAAATGCAAATCAACTACTCATACCTGCTACCAAAAATCTAGGTGAAAATGGAGCAAAATTGAAATGTTATAACTGTCAGCATGATTCAGAAACACCCTGTATGGTTGGAAATAAACATGTCTACCTGCGAAATGGTTGGCAGATAATATCGGCTTGAAAGTTTGTCAATTTATGCACCAGCTTCCCAATTCAAAAGCGAATAATAACAAAGATGTTTAAAAATATGAACTGACTCCAGCGCCTAGACCCATGGTGTTGGGCAAAGTTGATTCTAGCAAACTTTGATTCTAGACACACATTCACGCCCCTCAATGTAGGGGTGCCGCTGTGGTTCAACCTAGGGGTTGCTTTGTTATTTTATTCTATTAAATACTATTGACAAAATCATAGAAAACTCAAAAATTCAATATTGGGGAAAATGTGTCCTTTGAATTTTTCTAATTTCTTAAACTAGATATAATTTGAAATTCTGGGTTGAAACCTTTTTATGTAAATTTTTTCGAAAACCAGAAATTTTTAGATCTATGATTTTTCTACAATTTAGTATTAACAAATAATCACTACACACGCAAGTCGCATATACCAATTACCAGAGGTAACCCTCTGTTGATAAGATTTGTACCATACGGTGGTGGCCGGCAGCTGGTTTACTCACGTATTTGGAGAATGGTGTCGCGGGTACCACCGAATGGAGTCCACCGCAAAGAAAAGACCGCATTTACCACTGCGATCGCCATCAGGCTGTTTGTGTTGAATCCGATTTGCGTGAGGTCGCATTCGGCAGCGCGAAGAACGCGGATTTAATTTTATTGTTTTATTATTTTTGATCGGGTGCGTGTTTTGGTTTTTCTTTTTTTCGGGTGGCCCATGGGGTCAATAATACCTTTATTTGTCTGACCAGAAATTTTTGTGTGTGGATTATTGCTGGATTTTTCGACTTGTAAGTTTATTTTCGGTTGATTTTTTTCTGTATTATTTTTATTATTGTTTTTCAAATAAGCGTTGTTTGCAAAATTTTGATGAATAACTTTGTGCATGATTTCGATTTTTTGAAATTTTTTTCGCTTTAATTTTGCTTGTTCACATAAATTGAAATTATCTATTTTTTCCGTTTCGATGTGTTTCTGCTTTTTTTTTGACATAAATATTATCATTTTTATTTGATGCATTTGAAGATTTATTACTTTCAACCCTCAAGTTCGTTCATATTTTATAATTTAAAGTCAATTTATACAAATTCCCCAGGGAAATTAGACCAGAAAAAGGGCCATCTGCGGGATGAGGCTAGAACAAGCTGAATTTTGGCAGAGATCTTCGTTTTGATGTTTTAATGAAGTACGAAAAAATCGAATATGCCTACCTTTGTGCGTCTTGGGATATCGAAGGTCAAAGGTCACGAAAATCGTTTTTTGCGAAAATCTCGTTCCCAGTTCATCTGACGTCGAAGAACCCAAAACAAAGCTTACGTAAAATAGTATTTCCTACAAAATTGTTCCTATACATTTTATACATTTTTTTGTACGACCAACCGTTTTCGAAATATAGCGTGATGGAGCGAGAGCGCACATTCAAAATAGGTGATCCTATTTATACAGGGTGTCCCCGTTCAACTGGTCAAAAATGCTAAGATATATGGAGGAACCATAGAGAAGTAATTTGAGATAGGACATCGATGGTCGGAAGTGCGTCGTTTCCAAAATACAGGGTTTCAAATTTAATCAAACCCCTTTCATATCATCTGAAGGGCTAATGCTAGGCTGTTCAAATTTCCAAGGATTATTGATGTAAGAATGATATTTAAAAATTGGTATAATGCACCCCCCATTTTCTACCTGGAAACATCCCAAAAAAAAAAAAAAAATTAAAAAAAAAAGCAATTTGTTTCATTTTTTTTTTTTGGTTTTTCCAGGTAGAAAATTGGGGTGCATTATATGAATTTATAAATATCATTCCTACATCAATCATCCGTGAAAATTTGAACAGCCTAGCATTAGCCCTCCAGAGATGATATGAAAGGGGGTTGTTTAAATTTCAACACCCTGTATTTTGGAAACGACGCACTTCCGACTATCGGCGTCCCATCTCAAATTACTTCTCTATGGTACCTCTATATACCCTAGCATTTTAGACCAGTTGAACGGGGACACTCTGTATAATACAGTATCACCTATTTTGAATGCGTGCTCCTGCTTTATCAGGCTATATTTTGAAAACGGTTGGTCGTACAAAAAAAATGAATATGAACAATTTTGTAGAAAATACTATTTTACTTAAGTTTTGTTCTAGGTTCTTCGACGTCAGATGCACTGGAAGCGAGATTTTCGCGAAAAACAATTTTCGTGACCTTTAACCTTCGATATCTCAAGACGCACAAGGGTAGGCATATTCGATTTTTTTCTGCTTCATAAGAACATCAAAACGAAAGTCTCTGCAAAAATTCAGCTTGTTCGGCCTCATTCCGCAGAGGAAGTCTAATTTCCCTGGGGTAAAATTGGGGAAGAGTTGTTTATGTGTTCGCGATATTTGGAGTTTTTTTTAAATTGATTTTCGACTTTACATCTTACTAGATAATAAGGTACCTCAATAGATCTTCTGATTATTATTATTATTTTTTTGTTACCAGCCTTAAAATTTCAAAAATCAAATTTATATGACGGCAAATCAGCATAATTCACTTTTATCAGCCCAACTTCACCTAGCCAATAAACATAGAAGTGCATTAGTTAGTTGCATAATTATTCAGCAGCTAAAGATTGGGTCATAACAAATTGCACAACTCCGTATTAGCTTCAGTTAAAAAAAAAATTCAATTATTTAGAAGCTCTAATCTCCAAACAAAAAAGTGCCCTAAAATGTCAAAGTGGAAGGTTCGACTTTCAAAAAAAAAATGCCTCAACCAAGGATGTCGCTTTCAGAAATTAAACGATATGGAGACTTGCAGTTTGCAGTAACAACAATTTTCTTCAATTTTTCGGAAAACTGCTTATTATGTGTTTACGTAGTTCAGATTACAGATTAACCGTCTCCTAATGAGAAAATTGAATATAAAGGACGCTCGACTGACAAATCTTTTTAAAACAAATTCAGTCCTAAATCCTAAGTGTCTGTAGAAAAATCAACGAATCTGGTTATTTAGATCTATAAAAAAATCGGTAGATAGAAATGAATTCGGTTTTCAAATAAACATTGGTAGGTATATACTTGCCTATACCTATTATTTGCAATTTGATTCAAGTAAAATAACTAATAAGGTACCTAATTACTATCTATGTATAGGAACTATACATTTTTAAATTTCTTGTATTGTATCACAAGCATACTTATTTATAAAGGCTATACATATTTTAGAACTTTTCTCTCTGACAAACGTTTCAAATCTAAAACAACCAATTTAAGGTGCCCTTTTTGTATAATGATTATTTGTTCTTGTTCTTCCGTTCCCGAAAAGGGTTCCATCCGGTCACCTTTAAATAAAAATCTCAAAACTTCCGAAACGACTCCAATGAACAATTAATTGTTCAATATCATTCCTAAAGTCTAAATTAAATATTATAAGTAGGTACGAATTGTATAATAATATTTTGATTTAAAAAAATGTTTATGTTCATGATGTTCACGTACCACAATCTACAACAATGTCAAGGTTGCCCAAATTAGTTTATACGAAATGCAACAGGGCAAACAGTCCATTCCAAATTAAAAAAAAATACATTTGACATTACTTCTATGATTGGGTAGATTAACACTGAATACGTAGGTACCCATACCTGCTTTAGAATATCTGCCACTTTTTATTCTTATTGGAAAATAGTAAATTGGGGTTCTAGGAACTTATTTTTCAATAATTTGTGAAACAATGTTAATGTTGTTATATTTGTTTATATGTATACTCAATGCTTTAAAAACACAATTATCAAGAAAAGAAATCTTTTTATACAATTATTAAAAACTTAATGGTAAATTATCATGATCTCTATTATCAATATCTTATCACCTACTTCTTAAAGTTAAAAAGTTTAAAAGTGCTTTAATGATGACTTTAAAACAATCTACCTATCTATACAGGGTGCGTCAAAAAAGTGTCACACAGCAAAGTTTATGTTTCACTTACTCGATTATTGGATCGGGATTTCAAACTAGGCTTATTGGGTTTATTTCTGAAAGTCCGGGGAAAAAAAATAAGGTACAATAATTTTTTTGATGGTGGTTCTATTCTTTACCTATAAATGAAGTTCAAACGTCAGTCTCTACTTCCTATCCCAGTTTCATCTTCAAACAGGTGAGATAGGAATAGGTTAGACAATCACTCAGTACAATTTTTCAAATCGCGAAGTAAAAAAAAATTAAATGATCTGTGAACATTGCTAAATAAATTTTGAAAAAGCCAAACTGTCTATTTGACAAATTAATCATTTTTAATGCCTTCAAATCAATTGCATATGTTGAAATAAATTACATTAATAAGAAAAGAAAATTTATTACTTATTTTAAGATAGGAAATAAAAACAAATTGATAAATTAGTTGGATATTATTTATTTCAAGAACTTTCCCAACTAAAACCGCTGGAACGATTTCGTATTCGTATGACCTTTTCAGCTAAAAGGCCAACACCGAATGCATGCACGAAACCATTTAGAGATTTATTTTAAATAAATAGCAAGCATACCTACGATGAATTTAGTTGAAGTAGGTACCTTTTTTTTTATAAGTTGGTACTTTCCATATTCGAAAACCGCATTTTTAGAAGCTGCCCTCTGATCTTACAGACAAGATGCACCTTTGTCTGGACTAAAAATTAATTCCTTTATTATGTATAGTTACCGAAAAAACTATAAGCAAGGAGCTTTTCAAGGGAGGGTGGTTGCTGAACCGAGACTGTCGTAGGTGAAACTGGTACCTCAGTCGGAAACGTGTCCAATAAAAATAAAGGGCCTGTTTAATACAGGATGATTCATTCACAGTTAAGCATCACAATTTTCTAAATTGAAAAGTTTATTCGTTTTTATACATTCTTAGGGCGTAGGTCGTCAAAGTTTGACACACAAGTGATGGATTATGAACCTAGGTCCATAAGAGTTATGTCAGTTGGCCAAGAAGTGAGTAATAATGTGCTGTGTTGCGGAAATAACCCACGACAAGTTTAAACTTTTATTATTTCTAATTTAATATAATCTCAATTTCTATTATTTACCATAAAAATAATATTCTAAAAATAGATGCCTGTAAAACCGGCAACAACAACCCTTTGAACCGGTAAAATTACAGGTTTATTCATTACCTTATGAGACAGTGGAGCTATTTCGCTGCTGTGATTGGTCAGCCGCCACATTGTTTTCTACATTTTTGCGACCTGCTCCGGAAAAGCTAGTCGACACGCATTCGGCAGTAACATTAGATTAAGCGAAGAGTTCGCACCCTCGCGCCCTCTGAATGCTCTCCAGAGGCAAAAACTCCAAAAACCCCCGTTAGTGCACGCGATTTATAGTAAAATACTACTCTCTGTGTCTCAAGGCCTGACATGGTCTATATTATTGATTACAATTCATGTAATTAACCCCTAATTGTTGCAAGTCACCTCGGACGAGCAAAATTCTCTCCTACACCTGTTTTTTGGTTATCTCTTTCTCACTCTCGGCAGGCTTCAACTCACCTGTATATCATTGTGTTTTCTCTCTCAGTGGAAAATTCCTCAGCTGTCAGTGCGAATAGTGAAAAATGGATAAATAATCGCCTTATGGATTTATCTATATGAACTGGATTAAGCAAGTAAGACTGTTACAATTTCTCTAACAGTCGAACAATAAAGTTAATAAATACTGATTAGTGATTCGCTTGAAATGCACTATAAATTGAAGTATTTTCTAACCTTTCATGCAGAAATTTGGTTTTCACACTCGTGAAATTAACATTTGTACGTTTGTATATAGAAACTGAGCATA